TTTGGTTTGACCGCCGCTAGCTCTTTTCCAGCCTGACCCTATATCAGCTAACATTGCCCGTCGAGGAAGGCGATGACTAGGCATACGTAATACATGTCCTAACCATCTCAGTCGATGTAATTTCACAGTCTCGTCGACTGATTTCCCCTCCTTACCTGGCACTCAACGCCTAACCTCAATATTGCTCACCTTATCATACCACTTCACGCGGTAGATAGAACGCAGACACCTATGATCGAAGACAGCTAATCTTTTCATGTCTTCTGCTCTCAATGGCCAGGTCTCACAGCCATAAAGGAGGACGGAGTGGACTGTTGAGCAGTACACACGCCCTTTGGTCGATAGTCGGATATCGCGTCTACGCCAGAGACGGCGAAAACTAGCGAATGCGAACCTAGCTCTCTGTATTCGTGCTGAAATTTCGTCTGAGGTCAACCCGTTGGGACTGATGGTACTTCCCAAGTAATTGAAGCGGTCGATGAAGTTGAATAGGAATGGGGATAATGAGCATCCTTGACGGACGCCACTAGTCGTCACCACTTCAGATGACAAAAACCAATTGGTTGAACGTTTAATGCCTAAAACAATGAGCCAAAGCTTCTCATTGTTTATCAGCATCATACTCACTTTAAACGTTTATGTCAGGAAATACAAATGATCAGAAGTGTAACATAAACTAGAACCTATTGACCATCTTTAACCATATGTTTTATGACTTTATAAGTTTTGTTAAGATTTCAAGTTTCTGTCGTCTTAAATGATTACAATTTATCATACAGTCTGGAGCTGAGATACTCATATGCTCATCTAAAATCACCAAATACCTTGGAAACCTTCTCATAAAATTATTGCTAGATATGACATCCAGTTTCTTGATTAAACATTAATATGCAAATAGCAAAGCTTAGAGAACCTCCAAGTTTCATGTACAAGAGAAATTTTTAGCAATTGAACTACTATGTTTTTAAATGTTAGTATTTCGTTCTATTTCGCATATCATTTTAACACTATAGAAATTTCACTGATAAGTTTAATTGTGGCGCAAATTGTTTGTGAAAATAAGTTTTAAACTCATTCATTCTTGATCTGACATTTCATTGTTGATGAAAATATTTCACTCAAATTGAGATCACAAAGTATTCATTCTGTTGTTTTGAGTATGATAATGTTTTTTAAATTACTTTTACTTCAGCTGTATCTGAAATCTTTCTTCTAGATTTAGTTTATGTACCCTAAAAATCATATTCATTGTATCAGATTACTTGTTTACATGTTGTGAAGATAAGGAACTTTTAAATGTTATTGAGCAAAAAGTTGTTTATTGTGTCGATGTCTTCACGTATAAGCTATCTTCAAAATCATTTCAAAAACATGCCAACTGGAGCCTTAGATGAAAGTAGTTGTTAACATTGTGCCGTGACAGCTGTATTATATTGTCATTATTATAAGTAGTAAGAGTTCTTTCAAAGTTGAAAGGTTCTCTACTTTTTACCAGGTAAAAGTCAGTATCCACCATAGCTTACTTAAATTTGTGATGTACATTGGCTTAGGCATTCTGGTTTAGACCACTGCGTCTTGGGTTTCAACTCCACTTCACCTAATGGCCTCTGGTTAATGCATTAATAGCATTCACTTGTTAAGTGTGGACGATTGCGTGATACATGTGTAACTGAGAAAGGGAAAGAGTGTGTGTTGAATTCATGACTCAGCATTCGTTGCGGATTCAACATTTTAGCTGCAAATTTTCTTAAATCACTCAGGTTTGTTAGATAAGGTAACCAATACCGAGACGTTGATTAGTTTGTTTCCTGAACTTTGACTTATTTGAAACATCTACTGAACTTTCAATTCTAGGGTTGAGGTTTCGAATTCACTCTATTTCTGAGATCTGATCAACTAGTTAATATTACTGACTCTTACAGATAGTTGGAGCTAGCTGATTATTGATTGTAAGATTACAAAAAGAGAAAAGCATTAAACTATTCTGTGTATTGAATTTTGCTAAATAGTTTTTACTGTCTGTTAACATGATTGGAGGCGTTTTGTTAAACTTATCATTTATGCAGTCATCCATCTGCATCCATCCTAAACTCTTATTTACATAGTAAAACCGATTATATTAGGATTAATGTTTGTATGCAAATATTTTGCTATTCTTGTCACTTCTAGGGGAGGTATCAGACATTTTCTCACTGTCATCCTCTGCGGGAGGTGGTATCATATTTTTATTTGTGTTTTATGAAAATTTCGAGCATTTTAATTATTCTCTTGTGTACGTGTGCGTTGATTTTTCTTTTAAGAAAAAAACGTAAACAACGAAAAAAATTTCTTCTCGATGATTCATTTTCATAAGCTAAACATTCCTAATTATATTTAACAAAGAAATCATAAGGCTAATCAGGTACTGGTGAAATTTGTCTTCGTAAAACGTATTGCGTAATGATGTAAGATGTAACCTAGACGGAGTGACTAACTGAATACTCTTCTTCTGTTTGTTATGCTAAAAACATTCGACAACTTGAACTAGCCGAGAATTCTGTGCGCAAAGTTTTACATTTATTTCTTTGTTGAGTATCCAAAATAGGCATTCTCAATTATGCAAAAGCAAAATGCATACTTTTCTTTTTTTTCAATTGTGATTCAAATAATTGAGGTTAGGCGTCGAGTGCTAGGTGAGAAGGGGAAATCAATACACGAGGCTGTGAAGCTATATCGACTGAGATCGTTAGGACATGTGTTACGCATGCCCAGCCATCGCCTTTCTCAACTGACGGGCAATGTTAGCTGATATAGGATGGGTCAAGTTGGAAAAGAGGTAGTGGTGGTCAAACCAAAACATGGCCTCCTCAGTCAATGAAATCCACAACAGTTAGTTGAAACCAGCCAGCCACGTAGGAAGGTGCAGACCGGCTTCCTTGTTGGGGTCCTCGAGTCGGTAAAAACCAATGGCGGCTAGAGACGATTGGTGATATGGCTGAAAGTGATCATTCTCAATGGCTGGCGCAGATGCATCGACTCCTTGTGACTTATAATACCCAATGAAACTATATTGTTCTTCGATATTACTATTCTTTTTGCCTCCTATCTCTGTTTACTGTCTCTATTTCTCACATTTTTACTTTCTTCTCTTGTTTTGTGTGCTACTTGGAGGGAGTGTGGCGACTGGAACTGCTATACATCGTTGAAAGGTTCTATGTTGAAACCACTCAATCAGTCCAGTCATATAATTCTTCTCTTGCTGCTAAGTTTAGTTGCTATTATATATTTTTTTAATTATTTTACACTTTATATTTTTATAACTTGACCTGCAATTTTTAACATTCACTGTGTTGCTTTGCTGGTTTTACTTCACCTGTGAGAGAACAGTTTGCGTGATAAGGCTTTTTTTGTTTCCTCAACATCATAATGAAATTTTTGTATCTTTGGTTACAGTTGTGTTGCTTTTGTTTATTCTGTGAGAAATGAACTTTGTAATCTTCAGTTCTTTTCGTTTCCCTATTGTCTTTATTATAAACATTTCCTTTCTCTTTTTTGCATGGAAACTTGTTTTATTTCATTCACACTTTGTTTGTATACTCTTTGTTTGCTAAGGAAAGACTTTTCTTTTCCTGTCTACTTTACCCTGAGTGTCTATTCCATTGTGGGTAAAATTTATTTTAATAAAGTCTCACAGTATTATACAGTAATATCTATTATGAATATTACTGTATAACACTGTGAGATTTTATCAAAGTAAATTTTACCCACAATGGAAGTATACTCTATCACAGTGCACAAATTGTATGCTTATATCTGTTGCGTGTCTGTAGCTTGTGTATTTAAATATTTGTATATCATATGTAATTAATAGCAAAGGTATCTTGGGCAAAGTTAAACTTTAAACACCAGTATATTCCAACGGGCAAATGACCTTGAACGCACCAGTCACATGCTAAAGGCGATAAGTACGTGTGAAATACATATATATTCATGAAAATAGTGAATTAAAAGGCATGAAATTGTGACACAGACAGGATCCCTTTTTACGACGTGTAACAAAAATACCTCTCACTTTTGGATTGGAGTGACAACAGAGTAATTGAACCACACTCACTGCATGTAATTATTTATTCTTCTAACACTAACAACAACCGTAATCTTTTCTTAACCTAACTCCAAAGTGAAAATATCCCGAAACCAACCCTTACGTCGCCCTCGTTAGGTAAACCTAAACCTTACCTGTCCTTAGCCTAAACTTCAAATTAATCTTACCCAAACACATCTCATTAAGCATATTTTATTCATGATTACAGTACTATTTACCAGGTATCCTTAACCCGCCTACTGAGAGTTTCAAGGTCATTGGTGCGGTCGCCCTCCACTGGTATTTACTGGTGCTTAAAGCTTAACTTGGCCATTTCTTGTTTTTGTTTTTTCTACAATCGTCAACATGGCGTATTCGGTGACCACTAAATGACTGATATCTTCACTGAGATTCGAAACTATGTTATCCAATGGAATCGTGAACTTATCGTTCGTGTAGCATAAATAAAAGTTGAAGTTGTTTGATGAAGTGTTAACACCTATATAGTCGTGGAATTTACTTTAGGCTCTTTCAATGTTAGAAAGCTTTTATATTTAGATGTACCTGCAGTCTGACTGTTCAGTTTATTTTCTGTGAACCTGTTTTAGCGGTGAAAATTTATAAATAAGGTGGATTTTATTTGTATTGTTCCATTCTGCTAACTTTGATTAATATTTACATTAAGTTATCATCTCAATATGCAGACCTCAGAGAACATATCAGATATTAACCTGCGTAAAAACTGTACCCCGAAATCAATTCATCATTGTATAATAACGCATTTTGCTTGTCTATAAATTAAGTGCGTATGGCTAACCACTTATAACTGCTTTATGTTTAGTATATCTGTGAAATATAATACCTGCCTGAACACTAGTCACGCATAAATATAATAAATTTATATTTTAACAGTTTCTTTGTTTTTTGTTGTATGTAGGATCTGGATATGTATGATCCTGACTCAGACACACCGGCTATGGCGCGTACGTCTAATTTGAATGAAGAATTGGGTCAAGTACGTTTTTTAAATCTTCTTTTTCTTTCTTTGTACTTAGAATAAGCCCAACTTGTGTATTGCTCCTGATATATTTAATAATATTTGAAAAATGTTTCATAGGGTCTTACCAGCTCATTAAAAAAGATTAAAAATATTACTTGCAGTTTTGTTACTATGGTTTTTCTGTCCACTAGATTAAGGACTAGTCTTTCAATGAATAAACTTCAACCATACCTTACCTATTATAGTTTAGTAGGGTCATTAATACTCAGATGGTGTGTGTTTCGTAACCTATTTCTCCAAGTTATGATGTATTTTCCTTTTCTACTGATCTGAATGTCTTCATCGAATCTTGACCGTATCCATTGCATACAGTTTTCAAAGATAATACATTTGTAATAAATATATTCTTTATCTAAGGTTATCGGACTTTGTATCGATTTCCGGTCCGTTTTCGACATAGAACTTTGCACATATGTGCGGCAGTTCAAGTCGCCACAATCTATGTAGCACGCAAAGCAAGAGAAGGAAGTAGAAGAAATGCATAATAGAGACAGTAAACAGAGGTGTGAGACAAAGGAATAGTAATAACGGAGAACAAAACAGTTTAATTGGAAATCATAAGTCACAAGGAGTGGATGCATCTGCGCCACTGGGAACGATTTTGAGCCATGTCACCAATTGTTTCCAACCATTGGTTTTTACCATCCCGAGGGCCCCAACCAGGAAGTCTACATCTTCCTACGTGGCTTAGATTAACTGTTGTGGATTTCATTGATTGGTGCCATGTTTTGGTTTGACCGCCGCTAGCTCTTTTCCAGCCTGACCCTATATCAGCTAACATTGCCCGTCGAGGAAGGCGATGACTAGGCATACGTAATACATGTCCTAACCATCTCAGTCGAAGTAATTTCACAGTCTCGTCGACTGATTTCCCTTCCTTACCTAGCACTCGACGCCTAACCTCAATATTGCTCACCTTATTATACCACTTCACGCGGTAGATAGAACGCAGACACCTATGATCGAAGACAGCTAATCTTTTCATGTCGTCTGCTCTCAATGGCCAGGTCTCACAGCCATAAAGGAGGACGGAGTGGACTGTTGAGCAGTACACACGCCCTTTGGTCGATAGTCGGATATCGCGTCTACGCCAGAGACGGCGAAAACTGGCGAATGCGAACCTAGCCCTCTGTATTCGTGCTGAAATTTCGTCGGCGATCAACCCGTTGGGGCTGATGGTACTTCCCAAGTAAGTGAAGCGGTCAACGTGTTCTACCACTTCACTTCCTATTTCTAATCTAGGGGTCGATGAAGTCCAATCCTGCAGCATCATCTTACATTTTATAGGGGCGAATCGCATGCCAAACATGCGGAGATTGTTGCTCAGGGTGTTCAGTAGACTTTGCATTTTGTCAGAGTCCTCGCCTAGAAGGACTATATCGTCCGCATATTCTAAGTCGACGAGATTCTTCCCTGGTAGCAAGTCAATCCCTGAGTCGCTGAAGTGAGTTAGGGTTAAGTCCATTAGTACATCTATGATGAAGTTGAATAGGAATGGGGATAATGGGCATCCTTGACGGACGCCACTAGTCGTCACCACTACAGATGACAACTCGCCATAAGCCCTCACCTGGCTGCATGAGTACGAGTAGAGAGCCTTAATCAGTGCAATGTATTTTCTTGGCATTCCCTTTACAGCCAAGCATCGCCAGAGAACCTCCCGGTCGACAGAATCGAATACCGCCTTTAGGTCAAGAAATATAATGATTGTCGGACGCCGGTAGGAATGCCTATGTTCTAGAATCTGTCGAAGGGTGAAGATGTGATCAATACACCCTCTACCTGGCCTAAAACCTGCCTGGTTTTCTCGTGTTTGTGTCTCCCGAGCACTACTTAATCTACGCAGTATTATTGAGCCTAGGATTTTAGATACCATATTAGTCAAGCTAATGCCTCTGTGATTATCACAAGACGACTTGTCCCCCTTCTTGTATATCGGGATGATCAGTGACTTACACCAACCCGATGGGACTTCCTCTGATTCCCAGACGCTGCCTAGAACCTCCGTTAACGCAGACAGTAAACTGTCGCCTCCGTACTTAAATACCTCTGGAGTCAATAAATCAGGTCCCGCTGCTTTGCCTAGCTTCAGATTGGTGACAGCTTTAGTAACCTCGGTTAAGGACGGAGGACCTGTGTCTATCTCCCATTCAGGGAGGTGTTGGATGTCCGGTAGGTTAAGTGTGGCTGTGGGCCAATTAAACTGCTCCTCATAGTGTTCTTTCCAGCGCTCCAGACGTCTATCCTGGGAGCTAATTATGGTGCCATTTTTCTCGGAGATTGTTTCGCTTATCATTTGTTTTTTACCACCTGTTTCCCTGATAAGCCTGAATAGTTGTCTGGTGTTGCCTATCGCCGATGCTTTTTCCATCTCTTTCGCCTTTGTCAACCACCACTGTTCACGGTCCTTGCGGAGACTTTTCGTAAGTTTCCTCTTGTGCAGCTTTCGCTCCTCATTGAATTCGGAGCTCGCCGGAATAAGTCTTCTAGCATCTATCAGTTCGGATGAGGCAGTCGAAATCCAATGGTTTTTACTCACCTTTGGATTTACCTTATTCACAGCTTTTACAGCTGTATCTATGGCTAACTGAATATTCTTCCAGGCTTCTTCAGGGTGAGCGCAGCTGTCAAACTCAGATATGTGTTTAGCTAGTTCTTCCTCAAATAGGGACTTAGTTCCCTGGTCGAGCTGGGGACGTGATGGGTTTACCGCCAGCTGTTTCCTACGTCCGTTCAGTCGTAAGCACACACGAGCGCGGACCAGTGCGTGATCGGTATCTACACACGTGTTCCAGAAGGAGCGACAATCTCCTACCGACCCACGCCAACGATAGCTTATTGCTATGTGGTCTATTTGTGTCCAGCGTTGATTTGATGATGGTGGTCGCCAGGTCAAACAGTGTCTCTCCTTGTGTTTGAAGTTAGTGCTTACAAGATACAAATGATTATCTGAACAGAACTGTAGGAGACGGTCACCGTTGTCGGTTCGCTGGCACGGAATTCCGTATGTGCCACCAACATTCTTCTCAGATTGACACAATTTCCCTACTTGAGCATTGAAGTCACCAGCTAAAACGACTATATCTGAGTGTCTAGCCTTTCGTAGCAAACTAGACAGCTTTTGGTAGAACTCATCTTTCGTTTCATCCGAACTGCAGTCAGTGGGGGCGTAGGCGGAGATTACGAAAAGGCATCGGCGAGTAGTGCAGTCCTTTCTCCTTTTCACTGATCCGTTCAGGCGGACAGCGCACATTCGGCTATCTACCGGGATCCAGTCAAGTAATGTCTTTTCTGCTCTAGTACTTAAAGCTGTCCCAACACCAGCTAATCCTCGTGAGCTAGCCGTCGCATCTCCTGACACCCTCAAGGTGAATTTTGCAGATTCATCCTGTTGGCCAGGTGGGGTTAGGTGAATAACCACACTTGGGTCTTGTATGCGTGTTTCTGAAACACAACATACATCAATGGCTCGGGATGCCAGAGTCTTGGCTAGTGATGCTTGTTGTCCTATTTGGCAAAGTGTCCTAACATTAAATGCTCCTATATAAAATTGGTGGCGTGGTTTTAGGAGACCATCGGTGGTGGCTTTTTGGCTTCCATCGTTATCAGTGCACACAGAGTGAAGGGGAAGTGAAGAGCCAACAAGTAGAGGAGTTGCATTGGTAGAAGGAAGGCAAGATAATAGAGATGAAGATGAAGACAGAGATGAGCGAGGATTAGAGGGGTTTCGCGTGCACTTCGGATTGTGAGGGCGATTGTTACTTCCCGGCTGCCCACACCGTGGAAGTTGGTTGCGTGACCGCAGAGCCCAGGGGACAACTGCTTGAGGCCGGTCACACACAGCCTGTTTTTGTTTGTTCTTTTTTATTTGTTGTGTCTCAGTAGCGTATTTATCACTTCTGCCCTGTGACACGGCAGCAGAAAGCGCGGTCGTTGTTAATCCGGGCCCCGACCGATCCGGCATGAAATTTTGTGATTTATTTGAAATCATAGGATTGGATTGGGTAACTGCTTTTAGTCTAACTGCTATCCAAACAACCTTTCTGGCATGGTAGGACCTGCAGGAACATAAGTTCCAGCCAGTATAGCTTGTTGGGTCATTGCAGTGTTCAAGCCCGACCACCACGTCAAGGTAGCAGCTTTCGGTCGGGTTGTATTGATTTGAGGGGTTGTTAGTGGAGAATACGCCTAGTTTAAACGAAGCAACATTTTGATCTTCCAAACAGCATTTTCCATGAAATCTACTTTCTTCTGCTTTGAAACAGTCACACATAGAGGTCAAGTTAAAATCTAGACGGTCAGCATTTGATATGCAAAACATACAACTACTATCCAGTATCATACTAAGTCGGCAAAATCTTGTACTAATGTTTGTTATTTGATTACAGAAATATCTTACTACTGTATAAAATAGGGCAGAACTCGGGAGGAACAAACGAGGGAAAATCAAGCGGGCTTCAGGCCAGGTAGAGGGTGCATAGATCATATCTTCACTCTCCGACAGATCCTAGAACATAGACACACTTTTAGGCGTCCAACAATTGCCATATTTCTTGACTTGAAGGCGGCCTTTGACTCCGTGGATCGAGAGGTACTGTGGCAATGTTTGACTGTGAAGGGAGTGCCAAGAAAGTACATTGCACTAATCAAGGCACTCTACTCAAACTCACGTAGCTGTGTGTCACTTTAAGGGCTTATGGGGAATTGTCATCCGAATTGATAACAACCAGTGGTGTCCGTCAAGGATGTCCACTTTCCCCTTTTCTGTTTAACTTCATCATAGATATGCTAATGGAAGTATCCTTAACTGAACTGAATGACTTAGGAATCGACTTGTTACCAGGGAATAGTCTTATGGACTTAGAATATGCAGATGACATAGTCCTGTTAGGGGAGGATGCTGACAAAATGCAGAGTCTTCTGAACACCTTGAGCAGCAATCTTCGTATGTTTGGCATGCGATTCGCCCCTGTAAAATGTAAGATGCTGCTACAGGACTGGACTACGTCAACTCCTAGCTTCGTGATAGGGAGTGAAGTGATAGAACATGTTGACCACTTCACCTAGTTGGGAAGTTGTAGCAGCACCAACGGATTGATTGGTGACGAAATCACAGCACGGATCCAAAAAGCTCGGGCTGCTTTCGCTAACTTACACCGTCTCTGGCGTAGGCGTGACATCCGACTATCAACTAAGGGACGTGTGTACTGCTCAGCAGTTCGCTCCGTCCTTCTCTATGGCTCTAAAACATGGCCAATACGAGTTGAAGACATGAAAAGTTGACTGTTTTTGATCATAGATGTTTACGTTCTCTTTCTCACGTTAGGTGGTATAATAAGGTAAGTAATGTTGACGTTAGGCGTAGAGTGTTGGGCAAAGAGGGAAAATCACTCGAAGAGGCTATAAAGTTACATAGATTGAGATGGCTAAGTCACGTGCTGCGCATGCCTAACCATCGCCTCCCCCGACGGGCATTACCAGCTGATATAGGTGCAGGTTGGAAAAGAGTAAGTGGTGGCCAAACAAAAACATGGCCCTCGGGACTCTAAGAATCAATGGCTGGAGACAATAGGTGACATGGCTCAAAATCGTTGTCAATGGCGCAGATGTATTCAGTCTCTGTAATCTTTCATATTCCTTTCTACCATTACTCATTCTGTTTCACTCTTATACTTGTCAAAACTCTATTGATTCTCTTCACTCATTTTCTTGTCTACCTTTGTGTGCTATTTGGAACGTGGCAACTCGAACTGCTGCACTTCGGTGCCAAGTTCTATGTTGAATCCTGACAGACAGAGTATAAAATAGGCGCTGATGAACACACCCAGTTTAGCGATGAAACGTTCATCATCTAATTCGAATGATGGAAATGTTGTACACACCAAATTCCTAATGAGGTTCATTGACAGTTATTTAGTGAAGCTACTTGTATTATTCTGCATGGCTGTGAAGCCTGCGTATGCTTCTCAAATATTTTACTCTCATGATGAATGAGTGAATTTCTGTTCTTCTTTAACTCCGGATTCCTTTGATTTAACAGTTAAATTATATCATGAAAGGTAATTTGCTACACAACCTCGAAAACATTAACTTAGGACAAAACAAGGAAATGCAAATATGGACAGAGTTAGTAATGGAAGAGTAAGAAACCAAAATTTTGGGATTAAAACTTCACGGTTATAAAATACTCTCAGTCGTAACTAACATAAGCCATATACGTATTTATATGAATACAACTCATTTCTTACCATATAGCTTAAAGTTTACAGTCAATGGTTTCGGCTGTATTTGAAAACATGTCGGGGCAATCGATATCTCTAAGTACTACCTAGATCAATAATCAAAAATTCAGTGACTTGTGCTGTGTTTGTTTTGACCACTTGTAGGCTAATACTAGTTCTCTTTCTATTTTATCTAATGTGATTGACAGTAGTCATAACCACTTGAGTTATTTATATTGTCTTTGATTTACTCTTTCATTCAGACAGTACTCTGCGTCATAATTGTACTCTGTGAAGTAGTTTAGAGGATTTCTTCTTGAAGTATTGACAGACGTTTGCAATTATTGTGAAATTTTAACATTGTTTTTAAATTTGAATTAAATGTGCCTTCTGCTACTATCTCAAGACAATCGTCATTTTTATTATTTTAAAAATAAGTAGATAAATAATAACAATGTCACTAACATGAGTACACATTCAAGTCATATGAAAGCGTTTCAGTGAATTGTTTTGGCGCTTATTCACAATATTTTGTTTATTCACATTTAATCCAAATTGTTAACTAGTAATAGTTTTTCTGTAGTGCTCCATAGGTTATATCTTGCATCTTCGTAGCTCTGATCTAATATCACCCTCAAAAACACTGTCCTTTTTAATGTAGTTGTGTTCTCTGATCTGGATGGTTTATTTGCGAAGCTTTCATTGCCCAACTAGTCAACATCTTCAGCACATACTTCAATTCGGTGAAGTGAGCTTTTAGATTTCTCCACAAGTTTATTAGTCATCTCTCCTGGTCACCTTGAGCGCGATTGCTTGTTTTGTGTGTTTTCATACCCTCTAGGCTACTTGTATTGCTACTGATTGTTTCCTTGACCTGAAGTTGACCCTTTGTGTGTGAGATTTCCTTCTTATCGATTGGTAAATTTTGTCTATTTCAATGTGTCTATTGATTGACGATTCACTGGAATACCAAGCTTCTAAAAATTCTCTAGCATTCTTGGTGTTTCCTCTATTTAATATTTGAACGTTGTTCCAGTCGAATTGATATCCGCGGTTGTCTGTACGCAGCGATATGAGGGAGTGGATGTCATGTCTTTTGACGGCTAGCTTATGATCATGGATACGAAGACGAAGGGGACGTCCACTTTTGCCAATGTAGTGTTTTTCGCAGTCGTTGCAACTTATTTTGTAGATGATGTTGGTTTTATCTTCTTTCGCTATTGAGTCTTTTGGTCGACACAGAGTTGAGTGAAATGATTTTGTTAGTTTGTATGCGACATCGATTCCTAGAGGTTTGAAGAGTCTTGCAGTGATTTCTAAAATGTCTTTTACATATGGTAGGGTGATTCATTCAGTGCTTCCACCAAAACAAAGTCCTATGTTGAACCCAGTCAGTCAGTTCCACCAAAACAAGAAAATTCTAGGATTCGGAATTTCTCACCACCACATCGATCTTTAGAGACAGTGCTACATCGTTTTTTTAATCCTTAAACTGTTCAATGTTGGTCCTCTTAAAACTTGCTTGGCTAATAGCCTGATGCATGAATATATGCCTAGTTGGCTTACTATACGCTACTTGCAGTCTACCTTGATAGTTCCAAGGAAGATGCAGACTAAGTATTTTAGGGTAAACTGTATGTTATATAGTCCAAACAGAAATATGATTAAGTCACTGTAGGGTTACGCGTAGTACAAGTCATGTAACATATTTTTAGATGTTGTATAAATTCATCTATGAGCTAAATGTCGTTTGTCCACCAGGAATTCTACTGAGTGTCTTAGGTGGAAGTGACGTTAAGTTTCGCCGTAAAAATTAACTCCAATAACCTGAAAAAGACGTTCAGCAAATATACTTTCTAATAGTGTCTAATAAGCTTTCATGATGACGGTATTGTTGGAAAAGGTGGCATTATGTAACAAGTAATCTGTTTTGTTGTGTATATTACTGAAAGATTTTAGTTAAGAGGATGGTTTTGTCTTAAAACGATCTCATGAAGCCCATATTATGGTGTTTAGTGCTTAATATTTTACACTAAAGTAAAGCAGTCGTCTTAGTCTTCAGGTACCTCTGTTTTTTATTAGTTTTTTTTGCAAAAAGAAATTCTTATAATTATAATTGGGTGTAATTACTCTCAGGTCCGTTATTTATTCTCTGACAAAACTGGAACGTTGACACGTAATGTAATGGAATTCAAACGATGTTCAATTGGAGGTGTTATGTATGGGTAAGTGTCCAATTATACTTATAATAATTTTGCTTTCCATATGTTATGCATGCAACTTGCCAGTCGTCTTTCCTTCAATAGACTCATTCTCAAGAGTTGTATATACTCAGGAGCATGCACGTAACATTTCATTACCAGTTGATTGATCTGTGAAACTCCACAAACACTATTTAACTGTCTGCCTATATACGTACACTATTCCATTAGAAACTGAACCAAAATGCATTTCCATGAATTAACGTCTGTTAGAATAAGTTGTCATTTTGCTATAACTCATCCTTGGAGATAGATGCAAGAATGCCGCTCCTACTGAACAACCTCTGTGAATGACTGCAATACTCTAGTTAACGCCTATATGTACTTATGAGTGATCAAATACAAAAAGAAGTAGTTGTGAAACCTTTGTACTTTCAGATTATAGATGAAAAGCTGGATACGTATTCTTGTACTTCATTAAATGACAGCAGTATTCATCCTGAAGGTATACAACATCACATAGAGTCTATAGTGGAGACGATCAAAGGTTAATAAAATCATAGTAGGTCTCTATAGTTTTGTTTGGACTGATCGATTCAGGTGACTGAATCTGACCTGTTATGGAAGTGAAAATAAGTATTCCAGAAGAAGCACTCCAGACGTAAATTGACCATAAAGTCTATTCTATCCTGTTTCATATCTGTGAGGTAGCTCACATGACTAGAAATAGCATGGTAGGTAGAACTGAGATACAGTGTTAGAGACAAGGAAAGTAAGTCTATCAAGGAGATTTTGAAACTTCTTGGTTATGCATACTGAAGCATCACCGTCCTTGATGAGTGATAATAACTAGAATATTATTTGTTTCCTAAAGTGTAGTGATGTTTCGATCAATGACTTTATCAATCTGTGAAGTGATTTACTGTTGTTTGTGTCACTTATAGAGGTGTAGATCACCTCGCTAGAGCGCTCAAGATACCTAGAATCAATGTTTGGAAACTTTTGGCGGCATGACTCAGATATATTTAATCCTTGTCATCGATCAGATTTCGACAGTCTCCATTAATCATTATCTAAATATTCTTCTTATGGTACATCTTTATCCATTTTACTTTCATTGCATTCCCTTTCTTTGCTTTTATTTGTGCTTCACTGAATCATGGCAACGTGAAATGAATCACTTTTGTGCAAATTTCACTGTTGTCTATTGAGTTATTCAAGTACTGAAAACTCCACATTATTATTATTTTTCAAACCCAATAACCGAATCAGTGTTTACTGTTAAAGCCTTTAAAATAACACTGCATTCTTTCGTATGTTAGATTAGGCCTATGTGCGTCAGAAATGTTGCTAATTCACATGCATACACACATCACACGTGCTTTTCATCACAGTTCCAAATAATGTCGTTTGCAAGTGGATTTTTAACACATTACCTTATTTCTTCATTTCATTCTTAATTCTTAATTCACCCAACTTCTATTGTTTCAGGAATGATAACGAAGATTCTAACGCTTTAGATGATCAAAAACTAATCGACAAGTTGAATAGTGGTGATCCGTTAGTTGATCAGTTTTTCACTGCATTAGCTGTATGTCATACTGTTGTACCAGAACGTCAGTTACCCAAAAGTAACAGTAGTCATAATAATGCTGCTGTAGGTGATGCTGATGACCTAGTGATTGGCGAACAAGCAATTATATATCAAGCATCATCACCGGGTAAGTAATGTCTGAATTATTTAATGTATTGCACATTTTCATTCACGTATATGCCTATGTAAAGTTCAAATTTCGATTGCAATTTTAGTAGTAATTCTTGTGTAATGTGTATATGTCCTTTGGTTATCATATCATATATAAATATTCGTCTGAAATAGTAAAGTTGGTGAGCAATAAAATATAATTGTACAGGTCACTCAACAGTTGAATATCCAACATTCGGTTTGATTTGTCATTTTTTACACTACTTAGTATATCCTGTCCCAGATATTCACAGCTAGTGACCTTTTGTTTGTTTATACAGCTGTCCACTATCTGATCTAAAGATTCACCTAAACAAACATCCGAATAATTGACTTTCAGTACATTGAACAGCATTTAGATGTGTCGCGTGTATAAAGGGTTTTCATGCAATTACTTCACTATCTGTCTAACTTTATTTCATATATTTATTTTCATTTCAAACTTTGCTCTCATTTCACTTTTTTTGAAAATCCAAACAAGTGATTCCGTGAAGAAACTCTTTTCAACTAATTTATTATCAATCTGTACAATCGCGTATATATATATATATATATGATAACATTGTGTATTGTAGCAAAGAATAAGTGGTGGTGTACTTTCTAAAATAGTTCATAAAATGTATGTATCTCAGAGGAGAGGGTTTAGAAATAACAAGATAAGATAATAAGCTTACGCAACAAGGTGGTAATTCTGATAAGACAACATTGGAAAAAAGTATATGTTGAATTAAATAAGTAAGGTTGACAAGTGAGATAATACCGGAAATTATTAAAAGCAAAATTAATAATAACCGATACATACGGCTCGTTTCGCATATGCCAGTTTACGCCGTTCCTGACTTAGACGTGAAATCCAGTTGACTTTCGACCAAAGGGTGTGAGTACTGCTCAGCAGTCCGCTCCGTCCTCCTTTATGGCTGTGAGACCTGGCCATTGAGAGTGGAACACATCAAAAGGCTAGCTGTCTTTGATCATAGGTGCTTGCGTTCTATCTCTTGTGTTAAGTGGTATAATAGGGTGAGCAATATTGAGTGTTAGGCTTCAGTCGAGTGCTAGGTAAGGAGGGGAAATCAATCGACAAGGCTGTGAAGTTATATCGACTGAGATGGTTAGGACATGTGTTACGCATGCCTAGCCATCGCCTTTCTCGACAGTGGGCAATGTTAGCTGACATAGGGTCAGGTTGGAAAAGAGCCAGTGGTGGTCAAACCAAAACATGGCCTCATCAGTCAATGAAATCCACAACAGTTAGTTTAAACCAGCCAGCCACGTAGGAAGGTGTAGACTGGCTTCCTTGTTGGGGTCCTCGGGACGGTAAACACCAATGGCGGCTGGAGACGATTGGTGATATGGCTGAAAGTGATCGTTCTCAATGACTGGTGCAGATGCATCCACTCCTTGTGACTTATAATACCCTATGAAATTATAGTGTTTTTCGATAATACTATTCTTTTTGCCTCATATCTCTGTTTGGTGTCTGTATTTTGCACTTTTTTACTTTCTTCTCTTGTTTTGTGTGCTACTTGGTGGGAGTGTGGTGACTGGAACTTCTGCACATCAGTGCAAAGTTCTATGTTGAAACCAGTCAGTCAGTCAATAATTACAACTGAAACACCAAGGGGAAGATATGTAAACTTAAATAGACAAAACGAAAATGGGAATAGGAATTATAATAGTTCTGCATAGATCAATTAGGACCATTAAAATGAAGGAATGGTTGAAGAAACGTTTTCTGCATACAGTGGTATAGCCTTTCTATTTCGATGGCCAAAGCTTTAATAATACAGATGAGTCAGATGCATAATGACTTGAGCAAGTTATTTTTCTGCCCTGCAGATAACTTTGAAGGAAGAGGCGGTAGACACAGGGTGATCCAGTGTCGACCAGATTTTCAATTATTACCCTTCTTAGAGCACTACTTCAGAATGTCTATTCAACTTGTAGAAGCTCAGTGTGTAATTATTCGAACAATTGATTTGATTATAATCCTTCATCTATATCTTCCGTTTATTTCCCATGAAAATATTTAAGTGATCAACTAAGAATGAGATTTTCAACCAACAATGATCAAACAACAATAATGATTATATAAAATTTGTTAGGTTTTGAACACAAGAAGCCGATATGTCAACCTGAAACCGAGCACTTCGGTCCAATCAATCGACAGGAAAATCTAAATTTCAATTAAATAATTAATATTACCCGTTGCAAAAGAGGTGGCTCTCGTGGCCCAAGTTATCTAGTGGATAACGCTTTGGCATTTGAACTATGTGCACTGGGTTCGGGCTCGGTGGGAAAATCGTCACTCAGTGGCTGGGTAATGCAGGTACATCCAGATGACGAGTCCCAAACAGGACGAACTGCGCATCCTGTATTCCACTGCTAGTCACCATCCACCAATTAACTATCAATAGTTTAGCTTTTAAATGTACGCATACTCAAACTATTATTAATCCTAATTTGATTGGCGTTCATTTTAACTTTTATTTCAGATGAAGCAGCTTTAGTTAAGGCAGCGCGTTCACTTGGCTATGTATTCACCACTCGAACACCAACAGAGGTCATGATCAAAGTTGTAAGTCAAGCGCATAATAACCGTTTATTATCTCTGAAAGTATCATTTTATTTTACCCCCCCCCCCCCCTGAGATTGGGATTTCAACAAAGAGTTTACATTTTTAGCATGGATAGCTTTTTTGGCTGGAATAAAATAATATTTCATTGTCTTTTCTTTCATATTGATTGTTTCCTTACCCTGTTATATAGTATGTTTTATATTTTCATGTTCTATATAGTCTTGATATAAGAACTAACTTATCGACCTCAATCTATTTGTTTATGCATTCTGTTGGACTAATTTTCTCGAAAAATGATGTGTAAACGCTATATCACTTTCGACTTCGTCTACACAAGAGTATTTATCTTCCCATTTCTCACTTTGTATTATTTGTCCCAGATTATTTAGGCATTGATGTGCAATAAATTGGCGCCTGAGCACTTGCTTTGAACTTTGAACCAATTGCTAGTGTTTTCACAGTGTTGTGGTATTATTATTAGTAGTAGTATCAGTATTACTGCTTGCTTTTTTAAGATGAGTGGCAAATCAATAGAGCACTAACTTCTGTTTCCAATTTTTTTTTCATTTTTCAACTTAAAATTGATCAAAATTATGTGGGTTGACTGAAAATGACAAAATTTCCATTTTTTTTTGAAGTAACTAAAGTTTATGGTTAGCACAATGCTTAACGTTGTAAATGATATATTACAAGTGTAAGATAGTTATAACTTCTAACCTAACAGTACAATGACTTCGTAAGTATCTTCACTGATAGAGGAATTATCACTTTTAGTAGTCGTAGTAGTTCATGTGTTTTGTTTTTCACTGTTTTTGAGTAAAGAAGTTACTTTCTATTTTTATCATTTTTCATCTTCAATCTTTTACTGAATAAATTAATCACTTGTACTTTCTACCTTCTTTGTATTCATTCTATTTATGGAGATCCTCTATGATTCACAATCACAAGCTTTATTTGATTGATAGCTAATTACAGGTCTTTATTGTTAGTGATCTATCCACACACACTTGCTTAAACTGTGTTCTAGTGTTACTTTAATGTCTTTTCTTTTATATCTATGCTAGATGCCTAATAATTCTAAAAGCATGTAGTCACGTGATTTTGAGAAGTCTCAGAAACCTTCCGACATGTTATTAGTCTGATCTCATGTATTTATTGTTGTAGAATATGTAAATCATATATGGCGTATATTTGCAATCAACGTCAGCAAGTGCATTCCATCATATATGCTAATTAGTTGTGAAACTGACAACAATGAAAGTTGTAAAAGCATTTCACTAATCCTTTAGTAGCAAAATTTATATAAATAAATGACTGTGACAGGTGGTTGTCTGTGTCTCTATGTGAATAAAGCAATTACAACAGTGATAATTTCCTCAAGGTCGGCGGGGGGGGAGGGAGTAGTAAATTCAGTATTCCCGTTATTGTTCCCCATGATGTATCTTAACTAATCTAACTCTCCTTTTAATCACCTTTGCGTCGGTGGCACAGTGGTTAGGACTCTCGCCGACCATGCACATGGTCCGGAGTTCGATCCCCTGCGGACGCACACCTGATATCTATGGTCGGCCTGCAAAATTGGGCTACCGATATCACATGCTGAAAATTCCATACCTGTACCGAAAAATACGATGTGGAATCAAGCTGTAATCATATATATATATATATATATATATATATATATATATACAGAAAGCTTAAGCTAAATACAACCAAAAAATGGCACAATTTATTCTGTGCAAAACTCTCTTTTTGATCTATTCAAGCTTATAAAAAGCACTAGGTGTATAATGATACAATCGAATAAAGAGAATAAAACGAAACAATTCGGTCGAAATACAGTCTACTGACCTACATAACAGATAAACTCAATATTCATCCTTGTCAATGTCCGTTAACAATAAAGAAGAAAGGTATATATATATATATATTATGGCTTAATTAAAGGCATTCATTAGTAAACATTGTTCTTCGTCTGATTTAGTGATGTACCATACGCTTTTCATCACTTTATGGTTAATTCAGACAAACTGAATTCTTAAATAAGATAAATTTTCGCATCTGTGGGATGTGTCAGTCTCGCACACACAGTCTAGTCTTCACATTCGTGTGTGCTTTTGAAATGAATTTTCTAAACTAACAATGAACAACCATTACCGATGGAAACAATTATGTTGGACAAAGAAATGGTTATTATTATTACTACCATTGAGCAGCTCTTGGTTTTCAATTGTTCTTTATGCTACATGAGTCTCTGATATGAAATACTGTGAAACAAGTTGATTATCCACAGTTTCTTCCGTCGAATATCGCGCATCTCTTTGAATTTACAATATTCCATATAATATTGTGGTTATTTATTTTGTGTGGTGATACGTTGATACGTGGTATTTTCTAATGGAATAATTTTGCATGCGCAATATATTGCTATCTACTAATTAGCCTTTCTGATTCATAGCGAATTTAATATTTAGTATAGCTATGTAAGAAGGTGTAATTGAGTGATATTTACACAAAAGTAGTATGGTGTTCCTCCTTTACCTACCTGTGAAGCATCGTTTCAACTAGGGGCGGACGGAACTAAAATGAGGACATCAAAGCGAGAACTGGGAAAGCAAGGCAAGCTTTCATTACTCTGAAGTCTGTGTGGAGATCAACAGAACTCAGAAAATAAGATTCGAATTCTCAAGTCCAATGTAAAGTCAGTGCTACTATGCGGATCAGAGACTTGGTACCACATCACAAAGGGCACTTCAAACAAACTACAGACTTTCATCAACATCTGTCTTCGCTCAGTACTCAAGGTCAGATGACTGGCCAGAAAAGATCAGTAACAGGGATCTCTGGCGATGAGTGAACCAACTGTGCAACAAATATGCAGGAAGAAATGGAGGTGGATTGGCTATACTCTGAGAAAACCATTAAGTGGCATCACACACCAAGCCATCGCTCGAGCGGAAGCCTAATGGGAAGCGGCGAGTTGGTCTTCAGTGCCAGGGTGACATGAAGGAGGTCATGTGAAGAGGAGATGAAACCATGTGGGTAAACGTGGAGCCAGGTGAAAACGTTGTTGGAGAACCGAACTATAGTGGAGATGTGCGGCTGAAGCCCTGTGTTCCTCTAGGAACTAAAGGAGAAAATAATAAAAATATTAAATAATAATATGATCTTCCAACAATTGGCAAAATATTTCATCCTGCCTGTTGTTTTTTTTCTCTAAAGCGATTTGCTTGGTTCTGCCTGTTATACTAATACGCTTATATTGACTGACGTCTAGAGTTGTATTCCTGTACTCCTCTCTTCATTTGTAATTTTGCTGTGACACCTATTTTGTTAACTGTTTTTGTGACCTCTTTACAGTGATGATCTTATCAAAACGTGGAGTAATTAAGTGAATAGCAATGGATATCTTGCTAAAAATGACAGTATCTCTATCGTACTTTACGCAGCCTTTTTTCTGGGTGTGAGCTGTATATTTAGGATGAACAGAGTGTGATAATGAAAGCTGCTATTATAATGATTAACTGTTGACAGATAGTCTGTTTTACAGACAGAATATCGACATATCCATTTACAAATAATACCATACACTCACATTATTGGTTAGATAAATAAAGTCCCACGGAACGAACTTGTTTTTGAAGTATAGAGTTACGAAAGATCAAAAACTTCTCAAACAGAGAAGAGTTTTTTTAGTTATTTTTTCGTATCGTTGCTATAAACAATGTCTTTAGTTGTAATAGGCATTATTCATGGTCTATAAAAAAAATCATTAATGTAAGGGGTATCACTTTGTATTTTGATGTCCTTAAAACATTTCTTTGTACCTTAGGTTGTTTAGGTCAAGTTTGGTGTATTGTTGGTTAATTTTTCTGTACATTTGTGTGGATACTTACAGGTGTTTATAATCGATAATAATAATAACAGTAATAGTATTAACACCTAAAATACATTTAATACATCTAAGCTGTGTAGTCACCCACATACTTTAATTTATTCAGCTAATTAAGATACTTCTAACAGGTACTGTTATACAAGTAGGTCATTGTCTAATAGTTGGCAAATAAACTGTAATGGTAGATTTGATCTTATAATAAATAAACTTATGAGATGTCACACAAACTGTTCCGATTCATTGTTTCATGCATCATTAATATAATCTACTGCCTCTACATATGATGTACTTAATACTCTAAAGTTTACTTCGTCTTCCTACCTTGTCTAAACATACTTTTGATAGATTAGTGATAAAAATTTACTCAAATATTCTATTGTTCCTTATCTCGATGGTTATATAAATGAAATATAATTTGAATGTGTGAAAATCGTTTCCAATGTCAATTCGTTGGTTCTTTTCTAAGGCAAATTCCATTGTGGGTAAAATTTAGCTTGACAAAGTATCACAGTGTTATACAGTAATGTTTATTGATGACCATGTTTCGAGCACAATTTATCACTGCTCATAATCATATCAAGGTACTCACACAACTTTCTAACTTCGTTTATATAATTCCATTATTTGTCATCGCTTGACTTGATTGGTAGTAGTATTTTTCATATTTCCGGCATGAGCAGCGATGAGTCATCCTATTGCACATGTTGGGTGTAGACTCGATGAACAAGGATTCAGTAATTAACCTCTCTCTCCACCCACCTATATTATTTCTTAGAAGAATTTTAACCCTCCCCCACCCTATTGTGTGATTGTGTGCCAATGCATGAATGCATGCAATTCTTATATCAATGAAATATTCAAAGTAATAAAAAATGTTAGGTCAAAAATTTCACCATCTGCACGTCATTGTTCTATGGGTATAATTAAAAATAAGTTTTTCACCTTCCTTATCATTCTAACTAACGAATAACCATTCCATTTTTCTCTTTGTCTTTATCTCTCCTGCTCAAATCAATTGTTTCATTCTATATAAGTGGAGGTTATTTTTCAGTAATTCTAATATTTACTCTTCTCTCGCAAGTTATTTCTTTCCGATTGATTTTCACTTATTTTATTGGTGGTAAAGGTTTCCCGTGAAATATTATTCTTCCACTTTTTATCAGAGTGTATTCATGATTGTTTCTATCTGTCAATAAAATGAATCATTCAAACTTATCTCCATTTTATAATATCTTTCGTGTTATTCAATCCTTGATTAAGATAATTTAATATTTATTTCTTCATAACTTTTCAATTAATTCATCTATTTTAAATTCAAATTAATTCATCAAATTCAGTTTCATAATTGTGGTTTTTTTGTTGTTTTGTTTTATTTCTAAATGGATAGCGTGGTATTGAGAGACAATACACAGTATTACATGTTCTTGAATTCACCAGTTTTCGTAAACGTATGGGTGTTGTTCTTCGAGAACCAAATGGACGTATTTTAGTTATGGTCAAAGGAGCTGTAAGTAGCTTAATGATTTTATTATGATGCATTTTTTTTTAATGTCCTTTGTTATCCTTCTTTAAATCTCTGACTGTGGCTTGTGCTATTGATAAAATTCATCAGTAGTATATTATATATACATAAAGAGATGTTCATCGGCATAAAAACATCAACGAGCGGGAAGATAGATTTCACGGCAGAGAAAGCAAATGATACAGTATTGCTTAGATACATTGGAGATGTGATCAACTCGTAAAAACATAACTAACCCTTAAAAACCAAACTATAGAAAATTAATCTGATGCTCGCTAGTGACTTGCTACAGGATGGAGTTTCCTGGAGTTCTAGTGAGAAGTCGTGACCAGTGAGGTTCAACCAGATGTCACGTGTGAGGATGGATGTCCCACCAACGACATTGGTTGGGGTCGCGCTAAATCACGAATTGGTAGAAGTTAGAATTCATGAGCCATTGAATCGGGTCCCAGTGGCTGAATGGTCTACGAACTTGCCTTGTAACCGGAAGGTCCTGGGTTCGAACCCTGGTAGTGGGTGCGTACTGCCAATGATTCCCAAACTAGGATGAAACAGCTGTCCAGTACTCCAGTGCTGGTTTTCAATGGTTCTCTAACTGATATCAATCCGTGATCAACTCGTAAGAAAAGAAAGAAGTCATTGAGACATGTTGTACACTATATTTCGTTACTGGTTATAATCGGAAGGTAAGTAAAATTAAATATTTTATATACGCACATCTTTGAATATCTCCGGTGAGTTTTACTCCTATGAGTCGACGGGATGGAATGATTGTTGTCTCAGTCAATAGTTCAAGGTCAACAGTTGCATAACCTCCTACTTCGTCCGTATTTTTGTTTAGAAGAAAGTACTTTAGTGAATGCCATTAGAATCCATTTCGGTTGGCGAATACGACTATAGTGTAACCATTGGTTTACCTTTGAACCAGACAACAAATGCAGTATATACAAAATATTTCAAATTTATTGCCTAACTATTATTTATGTAACATTTCTTCTAAAAATAAATCGTGATTTTATACCGAATTCCGTTCTCTTGTCACGGAATACTCTTCTTTTCATTTCCTTTTCAAACATTTTTAAATCTCTATAGGATACAGTTATCTTTGAACGCCTCGCCAGTACTAGTCAATACTCTCAGGCTACTATGGATCACTTAGAGAATTTCGCCAAAACGGGTAAAGTTTTTTTATTCTAAAACATTGTTGATAAATAATATTATTTATAATATTTCATAGTTGACTTTTGTACATTCTAAGCAATTTTGAAACTACTACTCAAAGGTTTTCAGTAACTCTGGTTGTCAGGATAACGATAACGAAAGTCTTGTATATCACTATTGTCATTTCAAAAGTTGTCTTACTCCAAATGACAGTAGGGATTATTTTGATTTAAAAGTTTAAACTTTTATAGGGATAAAATATTGGCTACTATATTTGACTTGTCAATATGGTGTAAAAAATTAACGTTCATGAATTGAGAAAAATCGATGAAATTCCATATCCCATCATCATGGTGTGCATTCAGTCAGTCTCGTTGTAAATCATTTTTCTTCAATGATTTTGTGTTCTTTCATTGTCACTTTAATTAATCAGTGACTCAGTGTCTGCTGAGTATTTTTATTGATTAAATACACTAATCGATGATTGAGCTTTGTTTCCTGATATGTGTTCGTCAGTTTTCTAGTCTAAATGATTACTACTGGTCTAATTGTGACTGTTGCCATGCTGGATTATAAATGATTAAGTTTCAGGGGAATTAAATCTGTTTGCTTTTTTTCAAAATTGATCACAGCAACAATATATATTCCAAGAGAGGAAATTTCCTCCTTGAATCAGTGTTAACTACCACATCTCTGTGGGAAATTGTATTGAGTGAAATTTCCAGTTGAAAGATGAGATGATTTTTAGAACGATAACTCATTCAGGCTTTTGATGAAATTCTTTGTTGTAATTGTCCATCGTATTTATCGTTTGCTTTATCCTACAATAGTGGTTACTTCGATATTATCACCAGAGTATTTCGGTCTCATTGTTTTCTTTTACTTTACGTCACAATTTTTTGTGTTCAGTATACACATAAATATTTCAGGTGGCACAGTGTGGTGTGTGCTACTGATAAGATTTATCAATAGTATATATATATATAAAGATGTTCATCGGCATAAAAACATCAACGAGCAGGGAGATAGATTTGATTGCAGGGGAAGCAAATGATACAGTGTTGAGGAGATACATGGGATACGTGAAAGGAACACAAAGAAACACAACATGAAGGAAGGCCAGAAATAGCACAACACGGAAGATCTGTGCAAATGGTGCATTGAAGATAAGGTGTACATAATTTGGCTATATAGAGATACCAAACTGCAAATAAACATTTCTTTATCAAGTCTTTCGTCTTCCACCCTTACAGCAGAAAAGTCGCAGACTCTTACTTATTCACAAATCTGTTTATCCTTTTTCCAAACATAGATAATTCTCAGTGCTTTTGAAACATGCTGTACAACATAGAAGCATTCAGTATTCTCTGTCATGAATAATTAATGTATTATATTCCCTATATATTGTTTGTACGGTGTACGCCTAGGAGATTCATGGAAGAATATTGAGTCATACCTAATACAGACATCTACCACTAACGTAGTAAAGCGTAAATTTTCCCAAGTTCGATAAAGGCGCATATATATGTGTATGTTGAGTTGTAGTTTACTACAAAGACTTCCTTCCTGGAATTACATAATCGATTCTATTGATTTTGATGATTATTTTAACACTTCATTTTATGCTTAATAATAAGGAAAACTCTTGATACTACACTTTAACCATTCATCATTATAAACTAAAGTCTAGACTAGACTGAATATAATGTAGTTGTTGTCTTGGTAGCTGTATTCGATGGAGAATTACTTACTTATTATCCGTATTTTCAAGTATTGGTTTTGTAGGGATTTTGTTTAATTGCATGGAGGATTTCATCATGAGCTGACATCAGTTAGAGAACCACTGGAAAACCTGGGAGTACTGGACAGCTGTTTCGTCCTAGTTTGGGACTCTTCAGCAGTACGCACCCACTGGGATTCGAACCCAGGACCTTCTGGTTACAAAGCGAGCTCGTAGACCATTGAGCCACTGGGACCCGATCCAATGCTCCCTGAATTCCAACTTCTGCCAATTCGCGACTTAGCGCGACCGTTTCGCAATGTCTTCTTCGATGAGTTGCTGCCTCATCTTCGACCTGCTCTACCCTACTGGTCACGGCTTCCCACTAGAACCCCATGCAGTTGAAGAGTCCAAAACTAGGACGAAACAGCTGTCTAGTACTCCCAGGTTTTCCAGTGGTTATCCGTATTTGTTAGCTACTAATGTAACTACAATATCGTTTCTATGTTATTCACTTTATGGTTGCACACACATTTATTGATTCATCTTCTGTAGTTGGCGTTAGTGTGACACCTGAGTTTCACGCCTACACTTATGTGCTAACTTAGCATAACATAATACTTCATAAATAACTTCATTTACACTTTGCAAAATTGAAATTCATCAAAGCTTAAAGTGAAGTGGGGGCGCATATGCATTGACTGACAGTGTTATAAAATGTTTACTGTCTGTCAGTTGTGAACCCTATGAATTTCTATAACGCCAACTATTGCACTGATAGACCTGTTGACAGAATTTTTAGCAGATTCATTCCTACGTAGTTCTTTAGATAAAGATATTTGATACAATGAAATGAATAATGCAAACTCAACATTCACGATTGCTCTAATCACTTGATTCAAATTAGTTATGGGGTGTCATGGTAGAGAATAGTTTTTGTAATAAATTATGTGGATTATTTTATTATTATTATAGGTCTACGAACGTTGTGCATTGCTTGGACTGAAGTTGATCCAACATTTTATGCTAAATGGGCAGAAAATTTTCATAAAGCCAGTACTGCACTTGTCGACCGTGAGGCAAAGTTAGAAACCGTGGCAAATGAAATTGAGCAGGTTAGTTTTTTAACTGGTGTTCATTATGTGAACATTTTGTTTAAACACAAACAGGAAAGACGTATAATGTGAAGAAATTTATCTTTTCAACGATTTTATTGTTAAACTGTAAAGTCACTTTCTTATTTTCGACTCACTTGTACTAAAGTGGCTTAGTCAATGTGCATAGAATGTTATAGGTAACTGTGATGAATGAAACTCAAGAATAGTTCTAAGAGGAAATGTTAACCATGTCATCAAGTGTTTCCAAAGTTTGTCAATAATAAAGGTAACAGCATAGTGAAATGAAATAAAATAACAAAAGAGACATCCGGGGGAATGTAAAGCACGGGTTTTCATACAATGCCTTCGAATGGGACTTAGCCTTCTTGTTGACCTATGGGTTTTACTTTAGATATTCATAGACAGTGGAAACGTAGAATAGAATTTTGAAACATCTAGATGTAGTCCAATGAATTAATTCAGAAAGTCGATCGATCGCCAAGTGCTGAATATTATGACTTCATGACATACTCATAAATTGATGTTAATTGGCCTATCTCCAATTTTGTCATCTACATCATGTAATGCTGAGAGATACATACACCTGTCTGAAGGATTTACTTTGCAACTTACAGTCTAATTATCTTTATAAATAAAATAGGATAAAAATATCTCAAAATAGCATTATTAAGGTTGAAGTAAGGATACTATACACTTTATGTTTATTTGCACTTAATTGACTGCACGTCATATAGTGCGCAACTGTGACTGATCAATTTGAGTTAAAGCTGCTGGCAAAATGGTATACTAGTTATTTTTCTTTTGTTATTGACTCATTAGAACTTGATAACGTCATAGAATGCACATATTTTATTTGTCTGAAGCTTCGTTTGCTGGTATATTTGACAATGCAGCTGCTTTCATTGTGTATATTTTTAAAAATTAAACATTCTTAAATCTCAACTTGTTGAAAATAAATACAATGTCACGTTGATATTTTTGTCGGCTTACGGTTATGCTTTGTGATGTTGAATTATATTTAGTGTTAGGTATTTGAAAATTTTGAAAAAAAAACTATATACTACTACTGACTGATTGAAGTGAGTAGTTGCATACCACTCATACTAAACAGTAGTCCTTGCTAGTGAAATCGAGGTTGTCTGAACACTGGACGGTTGTTTCGCTCGTTTTGAGCCTAGCTGGTTAGTGGTGTGCCCGGTTTAACTGAAAACCGTTCAAACCACCAGGCTTTTGACCAGCTACTTGGGTGAACCAGTCATACCATAAATCAAATTCACAATTTGCGAATTGAACTTTATGTTCAAAAAAACTCCTGCAGACTGAAGTCTACGAAGACTTTAATTTTTCTTTACTGGGTTCTTCACAATTTTTCAGCGTTATTATGAACAACATTGTGAGCTATGTAATCTTTGAGAGTTTTAACGATGTTGTGTTACACTATGTGTTCACTTCTTCCATTACGCCTATTATGAAAAGATTTTTCTATAGACAGGCAGTTAACGCATTTGAAATTTGATGGAAACAAAAAAAATAATGAATAGTTATTCCAGTGGGATTCATTAAAAGTATACTTGAGTGTTAAAATGCAGTTGTGTCGCCTCCAACTTCGTGTACGCGATAATTTTCGCAGATGAGTCTCTTACATTATTTTATTATTTGTTAACAATCATCATCACTTTTGGCACTTGAATACAATCTACTCAATTTTATGGTTATTTTTTGTCGCCTCGTTCGTGTATGTATCTTCTTCTTTTCATCGGATATTGCGTGCGTGAAACAGTTGTCTCATGAATTCTGCCTCACTATATGTATCCATAATTTGATATTTTATGCTTTCCATAGATTTATATATATATAATTTTGTTTGCTTCCAGAATCTCAAACTTCTTGGTGCAACTGCCATTGAGGATAAATTACAAATAGGCGTTCCACAGACAATCTCTAATTTAATTCGAGCGGGTATTTCTGTTTGGGTTCTTACAGGAGATAAACAAGAAACAGCTATTAACATTGGTAAGTATGATTTTTTTTATTCCTTTACGTTCCCAGTGGAACATAGGGCTTCAAGCTAGAGGCTTGAAGTTTCGGTAGCAGTGGTGTTTTTATTTTTACGGGACGGGGTTGCTAGCCTCATGCTCAACCTTCCCTCTTTTAACCAGTCTTATTACTGGCTTAGCGAGGTAAAGGAGTGTGTCAGCCGGGGATCGAACCCGTACCGCATGCATAGTTGGCGTTCGTCCTACCACTTTGCCACTGACGCACAGTATGATTAACTATTTCCAGTGGTATTTATTTCGTTTAAATATTGAGAAATCATAAGACTGATAATGTAAAAACACCAAGAAATCCTCAACACAGTGTTGAAATAATAATATAAAGGAAAGAGATGATACTAATTTGGAAATAGAAGACTAAAATAGGTATACATAATTATCGAGTGGACTGATCGATGAACTTTCTACAACTCTGCATCATTTCTCTGTACCTGCAATTTGAAAAAAAAATTGGGGAACAGTCTTAGTGGTACCAGATAAAACACATTTTTTGTGGTAAAATTAACTTATTAAAAAGTAGTAAACCTTTCAGAATCTTGAAGATGATAGGAAGTTAATGCATCTCTGCGTCATTGAGAATAATTATGAACTACTTTACTTTGTATCACAAGGACCCTAGTCAGCTAACCTTAACCCCCCCCCACTCCCTACGTGGCTCAAACCAGAACTAAATGATTCCGCAGATTGGTCCTATGTTTTGTTTATTTTTAGTGGAGGAAGGCAAGGTCTAGGCATGCGTTACGTCTTTACTAGCTCCATTATCTCATCTATCGATGTTTTTCATTGCCCAAAGTTCTCTGCTAAGCTTATTGTTAGTGACAGTATAACTCCACCTAATGCGAGGAACAGAACAAAGGCACCTATGGTTAGAGAACCTCTTATCTTTCTATATCTGCTTCCAGTAGTCATTTTCCACTGGTATAAATTAGGACAGAGTGGACTGCTGTGCAACAAACACATTGCCCTTCATTTCATTTAGTTCGTTACTATATGTTTCTTTCGATAGCTGAAAAACAGGAAGATTGTAATCTAATTTCCGTAGAGATGTATTTAATAACGTCTGGAGTCATATGGTCGCATGATATTTTAGAGTCTACGAAGTAAGTCATGATGCAGAGATTGACGCTCGTTCGGTGAAGCTGTTTTTCACTGCTCGATGGTATGACTACTCTCCGCGTAAGCAAACAATGAACAGTATAGAAGTCACTAGGATGACGTTTGTAACACATGTCCAAACCATTTCCCCCCCCCCCCCGCCTATATCTCCTCTTTTGTATGATTTGATTTGTATTTGTTAACCAGGTTATTCGTGTCAACTACTGACATCATCTATAACCTTACTGACTATGAATACAAAGTCACTGGATCAGACACGTGAACAGCTAGTTAATTTAATTGAAGATTTTGGTGATCGAATTCGAATGGAAAATGATTTTGCTTTGGTAGTTGATGGTCAAGTAAGTATACTTACTTTTCACTGTTACTATTGAGTTATCCAAGATAGATTGCACAGTAAGATAATTATGTCTGTTTTTAAACATGTGAAGCATTGAAAACATTTAGGTCCACCGGTTTGTCCGCTATCTCAGCACATCTTTTTGTTTCTGATTTTCAAAATGCAAATGAATCAGCGTCTTCTGGTGGTGTGAATATATACAATTCCAAGACTTATGAGTAGTTGTCGTTTCATCGAAAATTATTGATGAATTTTCTGTAATAATTTATACTACTGTAGTTAGACTTTGATAATTTCACTCTCGTCTATTAGGCAATTGTATTTCTTGCTACGACTAAGTTTTCTTACAGATTTATTATCTACATTAACTCAGCTAAATTGTACTTTATTTGAATCCAGTGAGGGAGGTTTTATTACTGACTGAGGCCAATTTATCTGCCTCTGTATGTTAAGAATTACTAAGATCTCATGTACGACTAAGTAAATATAAGTGAAATCAAGGAGATGTTTTAATGTAATGTAGGAGTTTATATACTACTTTTATAATTCTCCCTTTAAAAAATAATATTATCTTCCTGCAATGTTACACACTTCTGTTGGTAGGGATGAAGAAGAAATTTCAATGTAGAGAAAAAAAGCCCTATTACAAATCAAATTTGTTGTTCACAATGCAATTTCACTTAAGTATTAGTTTGTAGGGATTTGATTGATTGGTTACAGGATTTCATCATGAGCTGACATCGATTAAAGGACCATTGGAAACCTGGGAGTACTGGACAGCTGTTTCGTCATAGTTTGGGACTCTTCGGCAGTACGCACCCAGTGGCCCGTGAATTCCAATTTCATGGGCTGTTGGATTGGGTCCTAGTGGTTTAATGGTCTACGAGCTCGCCTTGTAACCAGAAGGTCCTGGGTTCGAACCCTGGTGGGTTGGTACTGTGAAGAGTCCCAAACTAAGGCGAAGTGTCTATCCAGTACTTCCAGTTGGTTTTTCAATGGTGCTCTAACCAATGTCAGCTGATGATGAAATCCTGTAACCAATTTCACTTAGTACATCACATTTCATCAGATTCAGTGTAAATACAATTCAGTAATATAAAGTATTTTTGTGTAACAAGGTAGTAGTTATTCGTATTAGTTGTGTTAAGAGTAATTATTATTGGATGCCTAGGTGAACTGATTTCATAGAAAAATTGTGTAGTTTTTAAGCTAGCGTCAACGTCATAGGATATTCACGTTGCTTCCTTAAACTAATGAACATTAATCTTCACGTATTTTGTAAAATATTTCATACGTAAATAAATCTCTGTATACAGACACATGTTCACATGTATACACTTGGCTAGAATTCAGTTACTCGAAGCGAATTTTTAATGTACAGAGGTAAAAGACACGCTTATTTGATGTGGGCTGGTGTTGTTTCCTGGTTGCCTAGGTTGAAATAGAGGTATGTGGGTGGGCTGGATTGGAAATGGATACCTGTTGATCAACATTTTTTTTTAAAATAGCACAATATATTTTTGTTTAATTTTCGTATTGACAAAAAAACAACAACTAAGCTTTGAACAAAACTGAAAATTATGCAAATCTACTCTCCCTCTCTCTCTTCATTATTGAATGACGTTTATAGTTAAAAATTGTATCGTTTGCATAGTGAATATATGGATTCTTTTAATTGTTTTGTTGTTGAATTTTTGTCTCTTAGCCCACTCTTCTTTTTGTTTTGAAGCGTTTAAATTTCAACTCTGACTTTTGTTTTCTCATATACTATCTTTTCATCTTCAAACACATAAACATAAACATTTATGGAAAAACAAAATTTCTGCATATGCATTTATTATGATTTTTGAAGAGAAATATAATATCGTAAAATATTTGCATGTTGTAACCAGAAATGCTTTCATTATACATGAGTGGTAAAGATTTGGGGGAAACTATTGAATAATGTTTTTGCGCAACGCATTTCGGACATTCTGTGACCACACACGTACTTGTCATACACATTTATGTAGGAGGCATGAGTCATTACATTACAGGTGAGATTATCTACAGGTCAAGGTCATAAATAATGGGTAGGGAGATGACACAAAGGTGTGGGTAAGAAAGGAAGAAAAGGGTTAAAAATATTATGAAGTAAATTGAACCTTAGTTCTAAATTGGATTAACAAGGCAGGTGTAAAGTATTGACATATAACTTTTGGACAAATAAGACAGGCTTAAGTCTTTTTATGGCTAAGGCTTCAACGAATTTAAGTATGTGACCCAACGTTGTTTTATATATGGGTTTAAAGGCATTATTGAAATCAACCTTATGACCCGTCTCTATAATGTGCTTCGCTATGGATGATTGACATCTATTTCCGGGATCAATTGCATCCGGCGGCTTTATTTGTTGTTGCAGCCACTCTGGAATATGTTCTGTAGCCCTAACCTGCAGAGACCGATGGTTCCTCCCTATGCCGTCTTGCCTTTGATATAAATGTGTAGGCCAAGTACGTGTGTTATCAGAATGTTCGAAATGTGTTGCCCAAATACATTACACGTTTCAGATAAACTACGTCTTCTTATTGCCTTGTCGAAATTCATAAAGGGAACTCTTGAATATATTTTATAAAGTAAGCTGTATACTGTCGTATTCATTAATCAAGAAATTGTGATTACTCTCGTAAATGTTTAAATATGCGAAAACAGGTTATAATGATCAGTTTTTCAATCAATTTGTGTACCTAATATGTAAAAGATGTCAAGTTCTGTCAAAATGGCCCACGACACTAAGCTATGAACAGAACAAAAGGCTGCTTCTCAGGCTACGCCTAATATAAAAGTGTACGTTGCTTAATTTAGGTTTTCATGATGTTTGAAATTGGCCCAAGTTTATAATTTGTTATACGAGTCATAATCGAGTAGGCATCACAGCAAGTATTTTCTTTTTTGCATTATCTTCAGAAGTCCAAAAAATGAATTGGCTTCCATTTAACTTTCTGACATACTCTCATAGTTCTGCCCTCTTTCTTCATCTGAATATTCATTGAAATTAGTATTATTCCTTAAATGAATCTGTCTCCTTCAACTGACTCTCAGTTAACCTTTTAGTTCAAGGTCACTTGAACCATTCGTTTACTCATGTCCTCTCTTTTCTGCCAAGTTTTCTAATATGTTACAACTGGCCTTAACTTTGGAATGTGTATATTTTATTTTATCAAATATGTAGTTAAGCAACAGGAATACTTGTCTTTTGAGATATGTTTCTACTGATTATCTCAAAATTATGCTTTGTAGAGAGAAATACTCTACAATGTTCTATCACATTATCTTGATTATAAGAATTTCCTAAACCGTAATTTAATTTTCCATAAAAACACAAACCCTGCTTTGCATTTATTTTTGCTGTTTTGCGCGAAATTTCTTTCTGACGTTTGGAAAGATTATTCCTACTTGTAAGCAGTATAAACACAGTTCAGATGTGACGATGTTAGCTAGTGAAGAAACGTTAAAAAAGAGGAAGCACTAGGCTGGATCAATCAATTGACTGTGAGGAACGACAAATAGGGCATACGCTGGACAAAAGGGCTCTAAAAGACCTGGACTTGACGGATTAATTCTGTCTAATATCACACAAACTCAAATATATATAAACAAAAACCGGTAAATTGGCAGCGAAGACTGGACTTCATCTGAACATAGAGGTGATAAAGATATCTAACCTATGACTGACTGGTTTCAACATAAAACTTTGCACCGATGTTCAGCAGTTCGAGCTGCCACACTTCACTTGGCACACAAAGCAATAGAAGAGAACAAAGAAAGACTCAAAAGAGAGATAATAAACAGAGATATAGGGCAAAAAGAATAGTAATATGGGAGAACAATATAGTTTTATTGGATATTATAAGTCACGAGGAGTGAATGCATCTGCGACATTGAGAACGATTGTTGGATAGATATCTGCAGATATCCGACCAACAGTAACAAGCCCCAATCACTATCGATGAAAGAAATATATAGGAAGGTATCTGTTTTAGTTATCTAGATAATATCGTTTCAACTACAGGTGGAATGGTTGAGGAGGATATCAGGAGCAGGACGGGAAGAGCAAGGCAGACATTCATCAATCTCAAATCAGAGTGGGAATCTGCTGCACTCATCGTGAGGAAAAAGATCCTGGTTTTCAACACTAATGTCAAATCAGTGTTTGGTGCATCACCAAAAGCCTTTTCAGCAGGTCACAGACTTTCATTAACAACTGCCTTCACTCTGTACTGAAGGTCAGATGGTTAGACAGCATAAGCAACAAGGAAATCTGGCAATTGGTGAACTAGCCAAGATATTAGTGCCCAGCAGATATGCAGAAGGAAACGAAGATGGATTGGACATATGCGGTGGATACCGTTGGCTGACACCACACACCAGGCACTTAATCGCAACCCGAGTGGGAAGCGACAAGTTGGGCGTCCGAAGGTGGAGTGAAGAAGAGGAGAACCTATAGGCAATCGTGGAGCCAGCTAAAAAACGACTGCAGAAGAGAGTGAAATGGGGATGTGCTGTTGAAGCCCTATGTTCCTATCGGAACCCAAGAGAATAATAACAGTATAACTATTTTATTTTTACCTAGATCGCTTAGACTTTTGGGATGTGGTTCATTGACTTAAGTGTTTATTTTTATAGCTACACGTTACACATCAATTTTGGCCAAGTATATGTAGAGTTGTTCTTGGTTCTGAGATAGAATTATTTTATTCACTGTTATTCCATACAATGATCACTGTTTTTTTATCAGTAATAGTTATCATATTTAAGAAAAAGAAACATCAATTTCTATTTTTTTATCGTTTACTTGTCTATTTTTCGTTCAAGACATTAGAGTATGCACTACTGTGTGAATGCAGAGATCAGTTTCTCGATGTGGCATTGTCGTGTAAATCAGTGATCTGTTGCAGGTATGTGATTTTGTTTGACGCGTCTAAATTATTTATTTAATATGTTATGTCTATCAAAAATTGATTCAGTATACTTTTGTGATCACAGTTACTCATTATATAAACTTCTTCATATATGATGTTATCACTATAAAAATAATAACAATAATTGAATTAATGTAAACACAAGTATTTAAGCCTTATTATTCATAATTATTGAATTCAGTAATCAAAAACCCCATATGTCTAGATAGGTATGTTAGCTATCTTAGGTATCTACGTATGCAATGTCTCTTAATCAGTCGAAGCTATCTCAGTTAGTCTTAACAACAAATCAACACAAAGCACATAAGTGATCAGATAACATTTAACCTTCATTAGTCAAGTGGTAGAGTAACTTGTCCATTTGTGTGCCTACATTCTAATTTGCGTATCTTAACATATTCTGGGTTTGGCTATCATTTGAATTGTTAGACTGCTTGTCCAATATACGCATATGTCCATATATATATATATATATATATATATATATATATTTAATATATATATATATATATATATATATATTAGTATTTTAAATGTAAAGAAATGAATATTTACATGGCACATTTTTAAGTCATAAACACCATACTTGGACATTTCCACTTCCAAAAGAGAATGTCATTGAATTGGAGGATTTTTCGTACTAGTGATTGCCAAATGGACCAGCCTGTTCACCACCCACTGTTTACATCCGACACTAGTAATTCTGTTAATGCTGTTAATTCTCTGAATGATTTAATTAGCATAATTATTATTCTTTAGGAGTTTGGTTAATTAGCACGCGAAGGAATCGCAAATATTACTCAACTCGGTGGTTTATCAGAGAGATGTTTGTCGAAGATCTGTTGCTGTTACTGACTGACACTATTTGAAGGGCTATTGTAAAAAATATGCGGCAATGAATGTCTGTTATATTGCGTATTGGCATTTGTGTGATAAAGCTTCGGGTTGCTTCACTATTGGCAGTCGGGTGATTTCATATTCAAGCAGATAAAATGACCATGGTATATTCTGTTCAGATGACTACATATTTTAAATAGGCAATACCTAATTATCATAAACATTTTGAAATAGATTGATCGTAGAAAAAATTATTATGCCTAAACCTATTTAGGTATAACAGAAGTGTACTTGAAGGCGTATATCGTCATTTGTGATTGTCGAAGTTCTGCCGTAAAACGGATTAGTTACTTATAGACAATAACAGATTGAGCGAAGAAATATATTCCTTTCCAACTAGTTCCTCATCATCGGCTGGCTCTACACTAATATATAGTTTCTTACATCAAAATTTTATCAATGAAGAGGAAATATATCTCATGGACGTCTTCCAAAAGAGTGGATATCCACGGAATTTCGTCAACAGACATCTACCCCCAAGCCAACCTACCAAATCAAAGGCCTCCAAGGAAAGCACAAAGAAAATTGTCCTACCATATATAAATGACATTTCAGAAATCACTGCAAGACTCTTCAAACCTTTAGGAATTGATGTCGCACACAAACCAACAAAATCACTTCACTCAGTTCTGTGTCAACCAAAAGACTCAACAACGAAAGAAGATAAAACCAACATCATCTACAAAATAAGTTGCAACGACTGCGAAAAAAACATACATTGGCCAAAGTGGACGTCCCCTTCGTCTTCGTATCCATGTATCCATGATCATAAGCTAGCCGTCAAAAGACATGACATCCACTCCCTCATATCGCTGCGTACAGACAACCACGGACATCGATTTGACTGGGACAACGTTCAAATATTAGACAGAGGAAACACCAAGAATGCTAGAGAATTTTTAGAAGCCTGGTATTCCAGTGAATCGTCAATCAATAGACACATTGACATAGACAAAATTTACCAATCGATAAGAAGGAAATCTCAATACAAAGGGTGAATCTTCAGGTCAAGGAAACAATCAGTAGCAATACAAGTAGCCTAGAGGGTATGAAAACACACAAAACAAGCAATCACGTTCAAGGTGACCAGGAGAGATGACTAATAAACTCGTGGAGAAATCTAAAAGCTCACTTCACCGAATTGAAGTATGTGCTGAAGATGTTGCCTAGTAGGGCAATGAAAGCTTCGCAAATAAACCAGCCAGCTCAGAGAACACAACTACATCAAAATGAAGTGGTTATTTTACTTAATCAGTTTTATGTTTAGAGGGGGGGGGGTAATTAAGAGGTTAAAAGTCATCAAAACAAATAACTAATAGATGTTAGTAACAAAATTTCTATGTTTTGAAGGATGGGTGAAAATTTATTACGGAATTTAAGATAAGTTGATTCTTAGGCGTTAGCAACAAGTTATTACACAATCAAGAAATTTGTAAAATAATGATGAGTAAGAAGAATAGGATGATTCAGAGGAATTGCGTAAAATACAAACAAGTTAATGGGATTAGCTAGAATTGTAGAAAAAAATAACAAAGTCAAAAGATAGTTACGAGAAGGAGAAGGGGAAGAAATCGTTTTTAAACACTGAATACATATTATGTAGTTGGCCATGGCAAAGAAAGGCGCGCTGTCAAATTTATAGACAAATTTACAAATTATAGACAATAATATCAAATTTCATCTTTATATAAATTTTATTTAGCTCTATTATACCAAATGTTTGAAATACTGAATTTACTTTATTTCATTCGATAAATGCCTAATCTATCTTTTTTTTAACATGTGAGCACTTCACACAATCCATATACCACTTTACTCTCATTTAATTCAGGTTATTTTAATTACGATTTCAAGCCATGAATGACTAATTCGTTCTTAGCTATATATCTAAAAAAGTTGGCGATGTATATGTATGTCTTTCAGTAATCTTTTTATGTTAAAATGCTCACTGAAATTAGCAGAAGTGACACGTACATGCATACAGAGGTGTACATCACATTAAAGTTCACAGACAAATGATTCATAATCATAAACATGCTTTTAGTAAACAGGAATATGTTTTAGTTCAGTTTTCTTTAGCAGTAAGTACACTGTTAACAAAGCCAAACGTACAGTACAGAGAACAATCCAATATAAACAAGTACTAATTCTCTACATATTGTAAACAGTTATTATTCTCTAATATTTCTTCGTTGTATCCAACCATCTAACTACCTTTGATTTTTGCCTTACTTTTCATATAAGCGTAAAACTTTGGCACTATTGTAGAGTATTATTCCCTGTTGTGTTATGTTTATTAATTCCCAAATAACCATATCTTTGTGATCAAAATATCACCTAGCAGGATTTCATCATTGGTTAGAGAGCCATTGGTAAACCTGGAAGTACTGGACAGTTGTTTCGTCCTAGTTTGGGAGTCTTCAGCAGTACGCACTCACCGGGGCTCGAACCCAGGACCTTATGGTTACAAGGCGAGCTCGAAAACCATTAAGCCACTGGGACCCGATCCAATGGTCCATGAATTCTAATTTCTGCCCATTCACGAGAGTCCCAAACTAGGACGAAACAGCTGTATAGTACTCCCAGGTTTTCCAATGGTTCTCTAACCAATGTCAACTCATGATGAAATCCTATAACCAATCAAATTCCTACAAACCAACACTTAAATATCATCTAGCAGTTGAGTAGTCAACCAGCTCGCTACATAGCCTGAAGGTGTAGGGTTCAACCATCGATGTAGTTGTACGCGCTCAACGCTTGAAGATTTCAAAAATGAGGTGGATCACAGTTATTCTGTGCTCTCTGGTTTTCGATAATTCCCCAACTATATGTTGGCTTTTGATGAAGTCTGCATTGTGAAAATCAGCTGATTAATTAATTAATTAATTAATTAGATTACATAGGTGATAAATGACAGTAGTCCTAACTTTCATCTTTACATTGCACACTGCACATAGTTACACGTGATTTTGACTGATTACTTTGCATTCTTTCAGAGTTAGTCCTTGGCAGAAAGCTCAACTAGTAAAATTAGTCAGAGAATCTATAAAAGATGCAGTCACATTGGCCATAGGAGATGGAGCGAATGATGTTGGTATGATACAAGTAAGTTTGTACTATATAGTTTGTTATTTGTCTGAATTGTTGACACTTAGGGGAATGCAAGGCATTCAATTGTATCTATTTTTTCGATGTGTGGAATACATAACAATAACTCCTACGCTTTGGTTTTCAGTCGTTCTATGCCTGTTGCTGTATTCTTATGAAATATATTCTCTAATTAATCGATTTGTCTTTCAGGTCAATGAAACCAGCTAGTTATTTAATAGAATCGAATATTTCTCGATAATGAGATTTTTTCCAACAAAATAATATACATATTTATTTGTGTTCCGACTGAAAATAAAACACAATGTTTATTTCGTTACATACCGCCAGAGTTTTAAAAAAGTGATACAGTAACCTTGTGTTATTTACCAAGTAATCATGTTTGCTAAACTTGTTTTCATGCTTCATTGGATAATCCTATTATAGTTGAAACGAGATGTTACTATTTTGAGTCTCAATGAGAAAATATACTTTAACTACCATACAGGAATATGCAAATGATTTTTTATGGTGGATAATGAAATGCACGTTCTGAAGGCGACTATTAGACTCTACGGAGATATTTGTACCAAGAATGACAGATCTGTTCGGCTGAATTAATCGGACAGTGGGAAACGAGAAGACAGGGATATCCTGGACCGACGTGAAGAATCTAGAAGACCTGGATTTCGCAGATGGTTTATGTTTGATGGCACACAAAATCTAAGACTTACAAGCGAAAACCGATAAACTGGTCAAAGAAGCAGCAAAGACAGGACTCCAGGTAAACATAGACAAAACAGAGGTTATGAAAATAACCAACCAACAACAACAGCAGCAACATCAACCACCAATCACCATCAACGGGAGGGATTTGAAAGAAGTTACTTCATTCACTTATCTAGGGAGCATTGTCTCAACCACAGGAGGAACGGACGAGGATGTCAAATCGAGAATCAGGAAGGCGAGAAACACATTCATCAACCTGAAACCAATCTGGAAATCTTCGTCACTCAGCCTGTATCAACAACAAAATTCGGATTTTCAATACAAACGTCAAGTCAGTCAGTTCTTCTATACGGATGAGAAACTTGGCAGGTCACAAAGAATATTTCCAACAGGTTGCAGACCTTTATCAACAACTGTCTTCGCTCTATACTGAAGATCAGATGGCCGGAAAGAATCACCAACTAGAAACTATGGGGACAAACGAAACAAGAACCAATCGCTCAACAAATATGCAGGAGAAAGTGGAGATGGATTGGACACTCGCTGAGGAGGCCGTTGGGTGACATCGCGCGTCAGGCCAACGCTCGAGTGGAACCCGAAAGGGAAGCGGCGAGTGGGACGTCAGTGCAAGGGTGACATGGAGGAGATCGTGTGAAGAGGAGTTAAAACAGTATGGACTAACATGGATGCAGGTGGAAAGTACAGAAGAAGACAGAAACAAGTGGAGGCGTGCAGTTGAAGCGTTATGTTCCACTAGGAACCCAAGGGAACAGTAATTATTGGACAGTTTAGAATTTAAAAATTTGACGTGTAATAACACACCAGTGCATTTGTTCAACTCTTCATACTTCATAAAAGCACCAATGGTAGGGAAACTGCTATAAACAGGCATGTATAGGAGAAAGAATAACAACATAAGTAATAACGAAGATTTTCAGAATCTGGAAGATTACAAGTACTTAAAACATCTGAGCCATTGAAAACGATTTCTAGCCATGTCATCAGTAATCTTCAACCACCACTGGTTCTTGGTATCTCGAAAATCCCAGCTTAGCAGTATACACTTATCTAAGTAGCTCAAACTGACAGCCAGAAACTTCATAGACTGGTGTTGTGTTTTGTCTGACCACTTGCAACACTTTTCTAATCTCATCACCTACCAGCTAATTTTACTGGTTGAGGAAGGCGATAACTCAGCATATTTCATAATCATTTCAATCGATGTAGTTGCACAACCTGATCGACTGACCCTTCTCTTAACTCTATACCTAACCTCATTATTACTGATAATATAATACCGCCTAGTACGAGAAATTGAACACAGATATCTGTAGTTAAAAATAAATAATTAACGTCTTCACACTTTCTACTCTCATTAGGCATCTTGCATGAAAGGCAGGGCCAAGTGTTTCACAGTCCACACGTCCGTTGATGAGTAGTCGGATTAGCGCCTTCGTCAAAGACGATTCGATTTACCAAACATCAACCTAGTCTTTTGCATCTATTCTAAGATTTCGTCAGCAGTCAGTCCATCAAGACTGATGTACATCCCTGAATAAGTGAAATAGCATAAGGATAAGCTCTGCTATTGTGCATAATGCTCCTCAATTTTTCCATTATGGGTAAATTTTATTTTGATAGAGTCTCACAGTGTTATACAGTAATATTTACAGTACAGTAATATTTATTCTTATATCAATGACTCCTCGATTTTTATATATACGAGTCGGATAAATTTTGAATTTCGCATATTTTGCTTGTAAAATTAAAATTCTGTCAAATCAAAGCTATTTACTCATAAATTTTTAATCTCCAAAGCTATTATATTCCGTTCTGAGTTTCTTTTAACCAACCTTCTCTCATGTTTTTTTCTTCTTTGTTATACAATAGGCAGCTCATGTTGGTGTTGGCATCAGTGGTATGGAAGGCAGACAAGCAGCTTGTGCGTCAGATTATGCAATTGCTCAGTTTCGTTTCTTGAATAAACTATTATTAGTACATGGTGCATGGAATTACAATCGATTAACCAAACTTATCCAGTATTCTTTTTATAAAAATATTTGTCTTTATTTAATACAATTTTGGTTTGCTCTACTCAGTGGATTTTCTGGTCAAATTATATTTGAACGTTGGAGTATTGGTTTATACAATGTGGTAAGTTTTTTTTATATGTTGGATATATTTAATTATACTTTAGAAGTGTGTTCATGCATTCAGTTCAATAATGTAACTATACACATGTTTGGGAGGAAATTGATTTCTTAAGTAATTACACGTTTCTTATCAGGAAAAGAATAAAATGGAATAACGAGTTTTTTAGTTTATTTGATGATATCCGGCTATCGACCTAAGGGTGTGTGTACTGCTCAGCACTCCGCTCCGTCCTCCTTTATGGCTGTGAGACCTGGCCATTGAGAGTGGAACACATCAAAAGGTTAGCTGTCTTTGATCATAGGTGCTTGCGTTCTATCTCCCGTGTTAAGTGGTGGTATAATAGGGTGAGCAATATTGAGGTGAGGCGTCGGTCGAGTGCTAAATAAGGAGGAGAAATCAATCGACGAGGCTGCGAAGTTCCATTGACCGAGATGGTTAGGACATGTGTTACGCATGCCCAGCCATCACCTTTCTCAACTGACGGGCAATGTTAGCTGACGTAGGATGGGTCAGGTTGGAAAAGAGGCAGTGGTGGTCAAACCAAAACATGGCCTCATCAGTCAATGAGATCCACAACATTTAGTTTAAGCCAGCCACTCACATAGGAAAGTGTAGACTGGCTTCCTTGTTGGGGTCCTCGGTATGGCAAACACCAATGACGGCTGGGGACGATTGGTGATATGGCTGAAAGTGATCGTTCTCATTGACTAGTGAAGATGCATCCACTCCTTTTGAGTTATAATACCCAATGAAACTATATTGTTCTTCGTTACTACTATTTCTTTGTCTATATTATACATTTCTTCTCTTGCTTCATGTGCTACTTGGGGGAGTGTGGCGACTGGAACTGCTGCACATCGGTGCAAAGTTCTATGTTGAAACCAATCAGTCAGTTTATTTGCCTGTTTAGCTTAAAGTCTTTAACTTTCTATTTCTCTTATAAAAGTGATAACAGTGCAGATGAATATTTCCTCTAACCAATACTCCTTTTTCAATGTTATCACGAATATAGTCAAATTCAGCATGAGTATCGGTGTGTAATATGTCTTTTGGTCATCTCAATTATTCCAGTTGGTGTTGATCTCACCAGGAGGATAATTCTATCTAATTAAAGTTTCTTCCAATGCATCAGTACAAGCTGGTACTTTCTTTTTATCGAAATAAAGCACCAATAGTACAATATTCAACTCGTAGTTTGTGTTTTGTCTTGCAGTAGTGCAGAGGGGAAATCACTTCAAAACCTGTGGGATTCACTGACAGGAATTTTACTAACAGTTTAAAATGAACTTGGAAATGTAGTAGTCTTATTGATAGTATAATTATAAAGATATGCAAGTATAGTTTAAATTAATGAAAATGCATAATTTTTGTAAATTTGTGACCTTGTTATTTTAAATATATAACGAGAGCAAGCATTTAGTAGAGTGTGAAACAGTAAATGTATAAAATATCTCAGGATAATTTTATCAGTGTAGTACACACAATATAGATATATCAAGTTTCTGATTATAAATTGATGCGGCTTTTTGTATATACATTCTTCACCGAGAGATCGTTACCAATCTACTCAAACATTTTTTTCGTTAAATCAATTAGCAAATTTTTTTCTCTCTCAAAGTTTTTATATGTTTACGTCTTCGGTTATTAAGGTCATTGTGATCATAAAATATATATCCAGGGGAATAACTAATTTGTAATAAAGTTCCTAGCCAGCAAAACTTTTTACTTTCAGGATTTAGTTATGAACTGACATTGGCTAGAGGACCACTGGAAAACCAACTGGGAGTACTGAATGCAGCTGTTTCGTCAGCCTAGTTTGGGACTCTTCATCTGTACTCACCCCTGAGGTTCGAACCCAGGACCTTTTGGTTACAAGGTGAGCTCGTAGACCATTAAGCCACTGGGAACCGATTCGATGGTCTATGAATTCCAACTTTTGTCAATTCATGACTTGGCGCGACCACTAGCCAATGTCATCCGTGGCGAGTATTTGTCCTCACACCCGACCCGCTGTACCCTCACTACTCACGACTTCCCACCAAAACCCAGGTAACTCTACCTACCTGAATAGGGCCAGTCGCTAGTGAGCATCAGATTGATATTCAAGTGTTGGTTTTCAGGGATTTGATTGGTTTCAGGATTTCATAAACTTCTTACAACTACTTTTTAAAAAGAAAGTAATTATTGTTGTTTTCTTAAACAGTCATGTGAAATAATCCTGACTTGTTAGAGGCTAGTAGCGGAACAATTTTGTGCATTCGAATGTATTATTCTCTTCTGTCTCTCAAAATGTACGCTCAGGTTACTCGAATAAGTTTCACTTGATGAATAGATGCATGAAATGAGCCATTTATTTTGCAACCTGTCCTGTTATACACGTGATATGCTAGATCGATAGAGTCCATGAAAATGGTAAAGATTTTAGTGCACTGATTGAGTTACTTGACTTATTGAGGTATAACAATTGTGCTTTTCTTATATGTATTTGTCTCTATTGTCTCCCCTGACTTGATTTATCACGTATCATCTTAGATATCTCCTTTTAATCACTGGCTCATGTGTTCGAAAGCCATCTTGTATTTTCCCAGTATAGGTGACATACAGGGAATACGCGCGATAAATTTTCAGTAATTATCTGTTACACACATCTTTGTACTTGGTTGTTGAATGAATATTTTATGTTCTTCCATCTACCTTCATTGATATATTTTTCTCTCTTTATTACTTAGATCTTTACTGCAGCCCCTCCAATGGCTCTGGGATTATTCGATAGAAGTTGTAGTGTTAGTAATTGTTTAAAATATCCAGAATTGTACAGAGATACACAAGCATCTGCTTCATTCAATCGAAAAGTAAGCTGGAGTTATAACCTGTTGTGTTATTTAACCCCGACAGTTTGTCGAAATGTTCGCGCATATATATATATATATATATATATTGTTAAGTTTACGTGCACACATGTGTTGTCTTCTTTTCTTCATGAATTCTCACTTTTAAACACATTGTTTGTGATGATATGAAACAATTACAAATTGCTTTTTTGGCATCAAGTGAATATTTTATTCAAATAATTTTAGTAACATTTAAGTTGATTGATGTTTCGCGGTAATATGAATAAACGAATTAGATTTTTCTTTTTACCAATCTCGTTAACTTGAAAATATATTAAAGATATAGGTACAGTGAAACCTTAAATACCTCCGAGCATTCCTCATGATTTCCAAGGATTTATTATTGTCTGCATTTTACTGCTTAAACACTTCTAGTGTGTTTATCTGACTGATTCAGCTAACCTACTTTAGCATTAAAATCACCTACAATGAAATAAAGGAGCTTCGATAAACAAAGCAAGTTGTGTTTCCTTGACGGTTAGAAAGCCTTATCAGCTGGCCCGGAATTCAGAGTCATTTACACCTAGGGATATTTATATTGAAGACATTATCAAGTGTCTATATTCTAAAGGTAGTTTCTATTATGATGTAGCTATATCTTTTTTGATTGGTTGGGTGATTTCATCATGAGCTGACTTCAGTTAGAGAACCATTGGAAAACCAACTGGAAGTACTGGACAGCTGTTTTGTCAGCCTAGTTTGGGACTTTTCATCAGTACGCACCCAGTGAGGTTTGAATCCAGGACCTTCTGGCTACAAGGTGAGTTCGTAGACCATTCAGCCACTGGAACCTGACCCAATGGCCCGTGAATTCTAACTTCTGCTTTTCGTGAAGGCTCATTTTCTAGTTTTATGTATATGGTTGTTTCATATTCTCACAATCTTACCGTCATAACCACGAATTACCTTTCTCTTGATGTCAAATATCATATTTCTTTATTATTCGGGGTTGTGTAATGCCTTAATTTGTGTTTACCATTGAAGAATGAGGAAATGGAGGAATTAAATTCTTCTAGTTAATTCTCTGTTCCATGTCATATTGCTTCAGCTGTAGTACAGCACACGTGAGACACTTCTTTGTATAAAGGAGGTCGGGTTTGCTGCACAACATTGCACTCTATTCTACTGGATGGTTGTGAAAAATTACAGGTGAACTACTATCTGCGAATTCCCCCCTCATTTGACAGTCATTGTCTAGTGGAATTATCATGTGATGAGCTTAGAAATTAGTCTTAAGTAATACACAGGTTGTTCACTAATGTTTTGAACCAACCTCCTCTCAGATAGTAGAAATATTTATGTGCGTCGGTGGCACAGTGGTTAGGACTCTCGCCGACCATGCACATGGTCCGGGTTTCGATCCCACGCTGACGCACACCTGATATCTATGGTCGGCCTGCAAAATTTGGGCTACTGATATCACATGCTGAAAATTCCATACCTGTACCAAAAAATACGGTGTGGAATCAAGCTGTAATCAAAAAAAAAATATGTCTATCCACCGTCCATCTCAATATATTATTCTAGTGAAGATAGGATTAGTAGAATAGTTATGTACTGCTTATCTAAGTGTCAGCTAAGCAAAGTAAAACTGTACAAACTCAGCAAATGTTAGGATACAATTATAAACGATAAAGTGTGTTCTAAACCCCCTTATCCTGTACAAATTTATCCAATATACAATCTAATGTGAAAGCGCATACTATCAGCGTGCAAGTTCTATACATACACATGTACAATAGACTGTTTTCTCGAGATTTCTACCTTGCCTCGTATATATTGACTGTGTGGTAATAAATACACTTCATTTGATTGTTGATGGATAGTATTCTGAACTTCAGATTAAAATCTTTTTAGCAGTGAATATCTCATGACTTTTGGATAAAAAGTTTTATTGTATGGAGGATTTCATCATGAGCTGACATTAGTTAGAGAACCATTGGAGAACCTGGGAGTACTGGACAGCTGTTTCGTCCTAGTTTGGGACTCTTCATCAGTACGCGCCCACCGGGATTCGAACCCAGGACCTTCTGGTTACAAGGCGAGCTCGTAGACCATTGAGCCACTGGGACCCGATCCAATGGTCCTTGAATTCTAACTTCTGCCAATTCACGACATAGCGCGACAAAATCCCCTACCAAACCAATACTTGAAAAAAAGTTTTATATCTAATCACACTTACAGAAAATAAAATTAAAGGAATATCCCTATCCACTTTTACATACTGATTAATACTTGTTCTCTGACTTTCACTGAGCATAATAATTTAATAATATTCTCTAATTTACCTTAAATGAATCAATTTGAAATTCTGGATATTGTAGTACATTGATTGGAAGATTTACTTTTCAGCCTAGATTTGTATGTACAGCCAGCCAGTAGGCACCCACCCACCTGAGTAGCAATAGCTGAATGTAGATTCGGCACGATCCAACAACTAGAGATCATTGAGAACTAAAAAGCATTGAACAGCTGTTTCGCCCTAGTTTTGGACTTCTTGGCAGCTTACACTCATGACACCACTAGATATCGAACCCGGGACCTTTAGGTTACGGAAGCAAGCTCGTTGTTCATTCAGTCACTCTGTATGTTAGTATTACGTTACGTTTGTTTGTATGTATTACCTTACTATTTTTGGCGACAGCGAATTGTTCTCTCAATTTTCGTATTTACTGTCGACAAAAGCCAACCAGTGTTATTCTATTGTCCACCTTACTGTTTATTTAACCTTGACTGGGGGTGAATAAAGAAAACACTATTCGATTTTGGTATTCGAAAACCTTAAATGTCATGAGAAGAAATATCTGGAGTTTTACTTTCATTTTAAATCAATGCTAATCACATGATCATAAAAGCGATATTCTAACATGTGTGGAAACCAAGATTACAACTATTATACTGTCTGTATATTACTTAGTTAGCAGTGCTTAAAATTTTTGACCTCACAACTGTAAGAGTGAAGTATTTAAACTTTTACAGTTGTTTAATACTCTAATGAGTAATTTTAAAGGGTTTTTAGTCGTCTTATTAGGTATTTTGAGAATGAGTTTTCTGCTGAGAAGTCATTGAAGGATGAAAATATCCGGAATACTGTTAATCTGTTCAGATAAATTGGAATAATTATACCTAAATTTTAGTTCACTCTTAATCTTTTGTTTAAATGAACTAGCAATTTGTTGAATACTGTCATTCATCCTTGAATAGTAAGGGAATCAGTTTTCTAGAGCTGATATATACAAAGTAGTGGAAATCTACTTTACTTTTTTTTAAATTTGGGTAGTTTATTTCATGTAATAACATTCCTGAATATATAAACGAAAATGTTCTTATTCTCGCAATATTGTAAAATACTAGATACCTTCGTTTTCCTTCCTTGGAAACCCTCAGCATTGCCCAGCCACATTCTCATCAGAGATTAAACCCCGTCACATGATGCCTTCGGTTAATTTGTGAAGCATGATTATTCTATCTAAGTGTGCGTATTGTTTTATATATAATATTTTGTAGACTTTATGCGGTCGAACTGCATTGAAGTGCATAAACTCACTCGACATCGCTGTCATTTACTGTCCTCTATCATCTCTTCTCTATTTAAAAAAAATATCTCTTAGGTATTTTTATGTTGGATTGTCAATTCAGTGTATCATTCCTCACTCTTGTTCTGGGTTTCATTGATAGCCTTTTCTACAGGTAAGTTACTAGTGGTTTGCTGTACAATCACTTTTCAATGTGTTTGGAATAATAATTAATTAATTTGGTCATCTTGGTAACTGTCTGAAGCTGTTGTCTGCTGCCTGCTGCACTCCAAGGTTGGCTAGATTATGTATGGATCTGAAATTCATTTTATCTGCTGAGATTTGCATAGTTTGATAACATTTCAGGTGGCATACATCTACATCTGTCGCTTATTGACCCATGTCAATTATTGAATTTAGGTTTATTGATTGTCATGCTTGTTTTTATGTCTGTGGAACGTACAATCTTCGATTTCTTTTACAAATGCTTTTAATGGAACTTAATGCTTAGAGATTTTCAAGTGTTGGTTTGTAGGGGTTTGATTGGTTACAGGAATTCATCATGAGCTGACATTAGTTAGAGAACCATTGGAAAACCTGGGAGTACTGGACATCTGTTTCGTCCTAGTTTGGAACTCTTTAGTAGTAGGCACCCACCAGGATTCGAACCCAGGACTTTCTGGTTACAAGGCCGGCGAGCTCGTATACCATTAAGCCGCTGGGACCCGATCCAATGGCCGATGAATTCTAACTTCTGTCAATTCACGACATAGCGTGACCCCTAGCCTAGCTTAGAGATTTAATATTTGGACTACGCAATAGTCTGTAATTCTCAATCATGGTATGTTGTTTATCGTCAGCTTCTGCTGAGAATGTGTGTAATGTACCTCTACTATCTATCATATGGATACAAATCGAACATAAAACAGTTAGTTTGCTACCATCTTTCCCTTGGGTCCCAAGTGGAACATAGGGCTTCAAAGGCACATCTTCATTTTGTCCTGTTCTCTGCAGCTGTCTTCACTTGGCCCCACGATTGCCCTCCTAGCACGATTCCCTCCATGTCAACCTCGGACGCTCAACTCATCGCTTCCCACTTGGGTTCTGCTCAAGGGCCTGGTGCTCAATGTCACCAGACGGTCTTCTCAGCGTGTGCCCGATCCATCTCCATTTCCACCTGCATGTTTGTTAAGCAATAGGTTCTTGATAAGTTCGTTCCCAGGATGTCTTGTCGCTAATTGTTTCTGGTCATCTGATATTCAGTATGGAGCAAAGAAAGTCGTTGACAACAGCCTACAGTTTTCGAATTTATATGACATTAAACATAAATCGTCCGCGAAATCCAGATCTTTCAGAATCTTCTTATCGGTTCAAAGTGTTCCTGTCTTCTTGCTGTGATCTGATCTGTAGCGAAGGTATCCCCTGTAGTTTTGTCCTTCAGTTTCTGAACGCTGAACTTGAGTTGTGGTCTGTCTCCAGTTGTTCTGAAGGATTACAGCTAGATGATAGTCTGAGCCCACATTTGCTCCCCTTCTCTAATTTGTGTCCACCATACTGGCTGCGTCTCCTTTTCCTTGAGCAATATTGAGATGAAATGTCAGTGTAATGCTGTGGTGAGAGCTGGCTGCTAGCCAAAGTTGCTAGACAGTAATTGACGTCAATGTTTATGTCCCCAATATTGGTGGTGAGAAATTGAGAACAAAGGCTTTCCGTAGGCGGATGCAGTTAGCATATGGATGATCTGACACAGCCACAAAGAGATGCAAGGTTAACTTTCTGTGAGAAACAACCAATCAAAAGACTGTATTTTCTACTAACAATAATGTACATTAAAATCTATAAATATGTGTTGATTTTCCTTAATAATTGATCTGTTGCCTGGCCCTTGTCTTCTGTTGTTACAGTAGTAGTAATAGTGGTAATGATACTAAGTAGGCGAAGACAAAGTGTTCCTAAGCTTTTTACACAGCTAACTCAACAGCCTTTTCAGTGTTGCTCAGTTTCTTCAGTTTTACGTTTGATTTCTTTAGATGAATCTTGTTAGTCGACCGTTTGCATCAGTGAAATGAACCAGTCATCGTATTTATTCTCTCATACACACTCACTGTCCACTACATTTTGTTATGTATGTTATGGTGTAAGAATTAAGCTAATTCCTGTTTCAATATGTGTTCTCATCTAACTCATAAATCAGTCCATATTCTTGTATTTCTTATGTGTTATTCATCAATAAAACTTCCATCTGATTTTACACTAAAATGATGCTTGCACTAAATGTGTGTGTGTATCTTTGTGTAGTGAGAAGGAGGAAAAGAAACTGGTGTAGTATAGAAATGCGCACATGACATTCTAATTGTATTTTTTAAAAATATTTTTCTTACAGATACCATCTATGGAAATGGTCAAACTTCAAGCTTATTGGTCCTGGGCAATAGTGTGTACACAGTGAGTTCTGGGGTTTTGTTAATATTTCTATTCTTATGTTTACTTTCTGTGTGTGTGTATGGGTGGGTGGGTTTGTTGGTTTGTTTTTATGCTTAAATTTCAATATCTTGTTTCTTTCTCCTTCAACTGCTGACAATTTTTTGTTCAATTCAAAATTAAAGTCTGTAAATTTTTTATTGTTCTGAAAATTGATATATGTGAAAAAATTTTTGTTATAAATGATGAATAAATAATTTAAAAACAAACTGTCTCTAGCGCGTACATTGAGTAATTGGAAAATGTTTAATTATGCACTTTTTTCTCCAAATTGCATTACTTCCACTTGTTTTGCATATTGACTATATATATATATATATATATATAGAATTAAAAGTTAACATTCACGGTATATTGAACAAGTGATTCGAAATTAATTTAAGTGTTAAACAGACTGTAGACATCATCTTGAAAAAAAATTGATGATTGACAATTGACTTAATGAGTCGTAAATTGGTATAATACAAATTTAAAGTTTCCCAGTGAATTTTTAAGCAAATATTTAGACTCAAGATGATACTTGTGGGGAGGGAGAAGGTACCAGTTTGTGCTATGATATCGATAGGAAGGTTATTAATGTGGATTTTGCTATTCTGTATTCTAAATTATTAAAATTAGTATTTCTTGCAATTAGTTCTCCTGATATATTTGAATAATCACCGAAAATACCCATTGAATCATGAAGAAAATAAAAGATAATTCAGCGAAGAAAATTCCCTGCATCGACGAAATCATCTTCAAAATCTGTACAGTCATGTTGATACTTACCAAAACTGTATAGTAGTCTATTATTGGGTAATAGGTGGGTGACATAACACATCGAAACGCATCTCTGAACATTATCCGGCATGGTTAACAAAAGGACAACACAAGACAGTTACTAGCCCGATTCTTGAGCACTTAGTGAACTCAAGCCACGTAGCCCCACCAGAGTCGTCTTTCAAGATTATCTACAAGGTGAAACCAAACAGTATCAAAGGCGTCAGGTTTCGGCATTTGTTTATGGTGGAGGCGTTGGGAATTCGTCAATACAACCCCGAACTCTGTATAGAGAAAAGTTTGTCCAGTCTCTTATTCCACCATGATCTCAACCTCTTCACCAGTCGTCCCCTGTAAATTTTTTAATTTTGCTTTTAGTTTGTTTTCACTTTAATAATTAATTCATTATTATCGCTCCCATATTTGTTCCTTTTGTATATTTTCTCACCTTCTTCACACTTGTTGTTACATTGACACTCAACCACCTTTCTTCTCACTCAATAACAACTTTAACCTTATCAGATTTCTAACCCTTCCTTTCTCTGTGCCGTTGAGTACTGCGTAACTTACAACTTTTATTTTTACTTCTAAAGCCACTTTTGAGTAATTATATCAATTATGTCACCCCTCCCCTATTACTCAATAATAGACTACTATACATTTTTGGTAAATATAAATACGACTGTACAGCCTTTGAAGATGATTTCGTCGATAAAAGAAATTTGAATAAGTTATTGAGAGCAGCCTTTACTGTTAGATGAGGCTATACATCTCTGAGGCTTAAACTCTTTGACATGTGTTTAACGATCCTGGTAAATGACTCACCATCATCTCCCTGTGTACTTGTTTTTTCATGTGAATTGATAGACGCAATCGGAGTTGACCAGAGTTGAAAATTAAACGAATTTTGACTGTGTAATTGAACATGTTGTTTTATCCAATAGCAGCCTGTAGAGGTCCTTGATGTTGTACTTCTTTACGTCCGTTCCTCTTTTATTCAACCTCGTCAATTTAAATCCCAATTTAAGAAACACTGGTTTCTTGTAGATGGCAGTCCTGTTGCCACCTTTACCGTACTTCTTTACTAATTTTATTAGATGAAACCTATTTCTTTCTGAATGCTTCTCAGGGCAAAGATTTTCTGCTCCCTGGTGAAATGTCCTTACTAATCCTATAGCCTTCAGTGTAAAAGTGTTTGTAGTTTAAGTTCGGTCACTCCTAGTTGTGTTTTTTTTTGCTGTAGATCTTTATTTCTATTTTGCTAGCTTCACTACAGTTGGCTCGGTTAGCTTTTCTGATAGACTGTCAATCATCTTGCGTACCAGATTCAGATTGGAAAATTTGTCCGTGCAACTGGATTCTGAATCTTCCTCTTACACCACTGTTGATAATTGTACTTTCTTATTATAATCCTCATTGACTTCACTTCTCAGCCTTCAAGTAATTAAGCTGAGACGGTAATTTTTCATGCATAACTGCATTTCACATTTTATAATGCTACATGCCTCCTAAATTTGCGGTCAGTATGTTCACGTATTTAGACAATTTTGTTATTTTATATATCATGGAGTTCATTTTTCCCTCAGGTTATTTCAATTTTCCTCCTTATTTTAGTATGTAGTTATTACAGTCTGTTTGAAAGCTGGTTTGGAGCACACCGCATGGACGTGGTTGTCTCATTTGGCTATATGGGGCAGTATTGCTTGTTGGTTCCTTTTCCTTGCTATCTATCCACACGTTTATCCAACATTACCATTGGGTTCAGATATGGTTGGAATGGTAAGTTATCTATTTTTTTTGGCATAATTAAAATAACTTTCCTAAAATTTCTACCGAGTGGTATCCAGTGAAATAGACCTCAGGTATTCTTTGACCATCTACTTTATCCTACTACACAACCACAGAAAATGCTACCTTCTCTCAATAGTATGTACATCAAATTTGACAATCCAAGAAGCAAAAACGAATGAGATTTTACTTGTTTTTCAATAAATATACATACCTCATGATTTAACAGTAATGAGCACTATTTGGACTGTTGGGAATATTTTGAAAGCCTGTATTTTGTGCATAGTATATATTTCTTTTTATTGTTTAATATTCATAACTACTTAGTCTGTTTTATTCTTGTATGAAGAAGTGTCATCAAATATCCATTAGATGGTTGGAGACAATTGCAGGCATTCGTGGACCTAAATTTCATGCTTGTTTCTCACTCGTTAGCAAGGTAACCATGAAGAAGGTGATGTTCTATCATAGGTTAAAATTCACGTCACTTAGTGGTACTGCGGTCAGAGACTCTTCCACTGAGTTATAGGGGCTCCCAATCTATCATTACATTACAGTTCCGAAAACAGTTAGTCGTAAGCTTTCATAAATTAGTGCAAATTAGTCCGACTGCAATACTTTGTGATGTGGATGTTGACCTTTGCGGAAACATCAGTTGCTTTTTGGTTATAGATATATCTTGTTGAGAAGTGCTGGTAAACATGAAACACAAATCTAGGATTTCTTGCTGATTGCTTGTCTCTAACCATCTGACATGAATTTATAATGAACCACTATGGCAAATTACCCAGCTTGGTAATCATACAATGCAAACTTACAAAATTTGGTCAGTAGCAACACTGGGGACTAAACCATGATATTGGTTTCATCCTGTCGATTAATCACTAAATCGAATGTCTTTCAACTCTCAAAAGTTTGTGCAGTAGGATATAACAAAAAAGCACCTAATCTGTGTATCGCTGTATTACACTGACCATTAAACTACCCCTAACTCGGGTCCGAAAAATTGAAAATTTCCAAAACGCTTCCAAATGATAGAAGAAAGCGTAAAATGGGTTTTAGTACTTGTGACCATGGAGTTTTGAGCTTGTCTGGGCCTAATAGCGCCCAGCTAGGCTGTCTTGCTTATTATCCATAAATCCTATAGTAATAAACACAGCATAAGCTATATAGACGATATCAGCGTGAGTTAAACCATTCTCATGACTTGCTTATATGACTGTGTATGGTTTTCTATAGTCTTGGCAGACGTATAGAAGCTATTTGCATGTTAAATTGGTTGGCAGGGATAACGATTTTATTGAATTTGGTGGGTGCTGGCTCCGTTTATGGGGGTCAGTGGTCACCATAGCGTCCATACGCGTGCTACTTTTGCATACAATAATACTTTTGGCTGGTCTTGTATGCGAGATAAGTTCTATTGGGCTTGTCTTTGCAGTGCATAATTGATTGATGCGACCAATGATCGGCGTAACGATGCTTACCTATGCATTATTATGTGTACTAACGGTGCTAATGGTCCATTGAGCGAGAGGGCTCTCGAGTGGTTGCGCCACAGGATGATACTGCATGCCGGTCTCGTCTCGCAAGAGAGGCAGGGATGGGTGTTTTTGGTTCTCCTGAAAACCAATACCCAGTCAATGGGTGTATCATTATGTGAATAAACTAGTTGATCCTGCCAGTAGTCATATGCTTGTCTCAGAGATTAAGCCATGCATGTCTAAGTACATACCTTAAAACGGTGAAACCGCGAATGGCTCATTAAATCAGCTATGTTTCCTTAGATCATATATACTACATGGATAACTGTAGTAATTCTAGAGCTAATACATGCAATTTAATTGTAATCGTAGTTATGCTTCTTTCTTTCCTGCCTGTGTAAACTATATCAATTTCATAAAATAAGAACAAGCTAGTATAAATTTTATTCCAAGTATGCTTCTAATCTAGCCTTAAAAACTGAATACTTTGAGCATCAATCAATATTCACCATTCATTCGTTTACTTTGAGAAGGATAACTTGTAATCTTCCTACTCTTGAATCCGCCAAGGTGGTGGAATGTCTAACACTGACTTGATGTTAACAGTCAAGACAAGAAAATAAAATGTAGAATAACATTTTTCGGGGTGGCTAATTGTCACTACCTATTTCCAACTCATTTTATGCATATAATTTCTCCTACCTAATCACAACCACAATCTTTTCTCTCTTCTACTGTTTCCCCATTAATAAAATACAATAGGATTCGGCAGTTTACGGATGTGGTATTTTTTGGTTTGGTCTATTACTGATTCCTACATTTGCGCTTACACGTGATGTTGCATGGAAAATGTGAGTTTATTAGACATTTTGTGTCATTGTTGTTTGTTATGATGTATTGCGTCCTTTTTCTTTTGTGTGTCAAAATTAAAAGTGTAAGTGTGCAACACTGTGCATCGCTTGTTGTTATTTGATCTATATGACAATCCAATGGTCACTGTTCTGTTCAGTGTAACTACAATGTTCGTACTATTGTACTTTGTGTTTCTATCTCCAGACACATTACTGTATAAAGTGTAACTCTCCCTTTCCTCATCTACTAAATTAGCTGTGTAGACAAATAAAAGTTATTAATTGAGAACCTCATACAAGGGTGCCACAATTTTAAGTCATATCACAGTTTACTGTCTAGCACCTCGTGAATCCTAGGTGAAACCTATGCGGTTTACTGCACAGATTGTTTTTACTTGGAAATATTGCAATATACTCAACCACAAGGTTAAACTGGCACAGAGATTTGTGACCTCCGTTGGCTTAAGTACTCAACTTTCAAATACTGTTCCACTCGCCTGTGTGCCACCGGTAAGAATATCTGACGATACAACAGTCCCTTCAAGGTTTCAGATATACCTTACTGGGGAATGTCAATAAATACGAAAGCCTAGGCTTGTGTTTTCTTGTCACTTGCCGGCAACCACTTAACATCAATTCACAGTCTTTAGTATCTGTGACTAGGCTTTTTCAATAACTAACTCATTGTAGCTCGACTTATTCATCGCCTTTCATTCCCTATCCACAGTCCTGCTAAATTTAAAAGCATAATCTCTCATTTGAGAAGGTTGAGTGGATTTTTTTTCTTCTTTTCAGATAATTAGTCATGAGTGCAGAGCTTTGTGGTTATAAATGTTAACATCTCTACCAAGTTTATTTATTTTCAGTGAACACAAAATATCTTATTTAATCATTTATTTTTTGCGCATTTAAATATGTTGTAGGGCTAAACGTATCGTAGCTGGCACACTACGTGAACAAGTTATGCAAATGGAACAAATGCAGGTTGATCCAGGTCGACTGATTAGATCCAGTTTTCGTCCAAAGTAAGTTTTTCTTTTTTTTTAGCATCATATATGATCTCCATTTTTCAATACACATGAATGTTTGTGCTGTTGTTGAAATTCCTCTTTTGCATAATAGAGCCAGACGTCTTTGATGTTTTTATCAATCTGTTGTATATCTGTCTCTCCACACCTGCATACCAAACATAAGTTCTTTAGTGTAGGAGTTATTATTACTAATTCATCTCTCAGTTTTTCAGTATCCAGTATTTACATAAATATTCCTAATGAGAACTGTGTTAGTGGCGTCATTTTGAAGCAAACGCCTAGAGCAAATTTTTGTGTGGTAGCAGAAAACAGTGTTTCCTCATTATTTCACTGTTTACTCTGTTTATTTGTGTGCTTATTTTCCATAATGCTTCCTGTGAACAATTTATTTTATTGATTACTTGGAGACGCTTAAATACGTCTAGTAGTAGTAGTAGTTGACTGGCTACTTACATTGTCTATAAAAAGATAAATTGATTGTGGATGAATATTTTTTTAAATGATTAACTGATATCTCATTATTGATATTGGTCAGTGTTAATTTGGATCCATATCTCCAACGTCGGTGGCATAGCGGTTAGGACGCTCGCCGACTATGCACAGGGTCCGGGGTTCGATCCCCGGCCACTGACGCACTCCTTTACCTCGCCAAGCCAGAAATAAAGCTGGTAAAGAGGAAAGATTGGGCATGAGGCTAGCAACCCCATCCTGTGAAAATAAACACCACTGCTACAGAAACTTCAAGCCACTAGCTTGAAGCCCTATGTTCCACTGGGGAACGTGAAGGAAAAAAAATCTCCAACGTGCACCTGTGTACACATACACACACCACACACACACATCAGAATCAGTATTATTTATTATTGATACCCAAAGAAAATCATTCTTGTGCTAAATAAAGATTAGGATTAGGACTCTTTCAACTAACCTATTAAGTTACATAGATTTCTAGCTTGTAGGTGGTAATATTGACTTTCACACTAGTAGTAATCGAAAGTTAAGTGCAATAAAATATATTGGTGTTCTGTCTATCATTCAACTGCATTTTGTAGACATTATAGTATGTTTCTTCATGATTGATAAAATTTTAAAAAAAGTTAACTGACAATAGATAAATAACAATGTGTTAACATGATTTCATATCTAACATTGATTGATACACAGTTGTGATAGGCAGTCGAGCTGCTAAACTCTTGTAGTCTCAACAATTTAACTTCGTCTCAATTATTTGATTGATCATATCTCCTGAAAGTATTTGAATTCTGCAATTGTTGTTGTTTGTTTTTTTTCCACACACACACAAAAATACTCTTGATGTAGAGTTACATAGACAAATTTGAACAACAAAAAGTTGGTATAACCTCAGTCACATCTGATCTGTAAATGTACCTGTGAGAAGGTGAACATGATAGAATATAATGAAATTTTGATGATATTAATAATAATAATGATAATATCATCACCATTTGTAGAAGTTATGAAATAATGAAAGGAGAACTAAGAGATATTTAAATTTTTAAGCTTTAGATGATTATAACTGACACTACAGATATCAGTTTTATGTCCAATCACCTAAAGTTTTTAAGGCTGTACTCTTAACCATCTCACGGATCTTGGCTTGAACTCACTTGAGTGACTAAGTTGATGATTTATCAAAGATTTTATGAATTGATGCAGTGTTTTTGGTAAAGTCATGATTGATTATCTTTTTCCACCATTGTTTTTCAATTCCAATATTAAATCATGTCTCAGATAAAAGAAATCGGTTGTTTAGTAAGATGACTATTCAGAAGATTTTTAAATTTCATTGTATTTTAAACAACATAATAGTAGAATGTAACTATTACCACCACTTGTATGATATATATGAAAGCCAATCAAAGTCCTACACTTCCAAATAAATTAGTAAAAAGTCATAGTTATTAAATGTGTAGTCTCAAGTATCACACTTAAGTAGTTTATGTTGTTAATATTAACGTTAGTATTATTTTGCTATATAGGGCGCGTTATGTTTTCTTATGAATTAAGTTTATTTTAAAGTGTTCAATATATTTATTAATCATAACTTCCTATTTCTTCTAAATCGGCTCCATTGAAAGTAATAACATGAATGTTTGAATGTAGTACTCTCAAGTTAACTCACTCACTTATTAAAACACTTGATAAATAGAGTAAGAACTTGTCAGTTAAGTCTTCATAGATGAAATCGTCACCTGCTGATTTCTAATTATGTGCATTAATGTATCTGTTCATTGGTATTCATACCTTTTGTATACGCTTAACAGTTTTGTGCTGTCTGATATAGGCCAACCTGATGCATATTTTCAGATATATATATACATATATATATATATATATATATATATATGCATATATACTGGGATATAATCTACATTGAATGAACATCTAACTACTTCATAAATGTAATTGTGTATCCATGCTTAGAATCTAAGTTTAGTCATGAACCGTTTCGTCCTTATTCGGGACTCTTCAGTAGTACGGGTTCATGAGCCCACCAGGGATTGTGAATCTGGCACCTTAAGGTTACAAGACGAACTTGTTTACCATTTAGTCACTGGGACTGAACCAAACAAGGGGAAATAGCTGTCTAGTACTCCCTGATTTTCAGTAGTTCTCTAACTAGAATCCATTCGTGATCAATCTCAGAAATCAATGAAATCCCTAGAAGCCATCACTTGAAAATATTATTTTTTTTTGGTTAACATTTGTTTCAATTGTGGATTTTTACATACTTTTGTTACACATTATAACATCATGGTTATAACTATGTTGAACAATTATCAACAACACTAACTAGCTCAAAGAAATTAATTTTAGATCATTCTTAAGACGACGGCTTTCGTCAGTGTAATGTGCCTAGTTAGTAGACTTCATGACTATTCTCTGTTAAACAATAATAAAGGCAAAGTTAACGCAGGATTCACTATTTGATGATTAGTTATGATTAAACATGTATGCCAAAATTGTGTGACTCAACTGAGAATCTTAAGTTTAATTAAATCCACGCAATCAGTAAAATAGTGTTGGTGTCATGTCTAACTAACTGTTTGTGGAATTTGTTATTTTAAACTCTTTTATTCACTAAATAATCAAAGGTTTAAAAATTTGGGGTGATTTATCATTGTTAACTAGTATATCAAATGTGAAATAGCTAACCTGTTTATTTGGCTGGACTACATAAAAGTGTATGAGCTAACTTTTCAAATGTATTCGATCGTTATTATTATTATTTGCTTCTTATCTTACTATATCTTCATCCATCTTCTTTTTATAATCATTAGGCTTTTTTTCTTTTGTATATTGTGTGGACTTATTATTCACTGGGTTGATTATTCGATTCCTAACTAACTGATACATAAGTTTTGATAGCGTTATTAGAAGACGGAGATTATCTGAAAAATGTGATGTATTTGCGCTATACATTTCGACTTTCTTCCTCGCATGTAAGACTAATATGATTCTGTACAGAGTTAAGTCTGTCTAATAGACGACTTGCATCTTACATATATGCTTCACTGCAAACCTTAAAAGTGCGCAAGTGATTATATCACATCCCATACAATTTACCAATTTTCGTGTGTGTGGACATACATGCATAGGGAGGAGTAATCGCGCGTTGCACATGAGGTTGGGAGAGCATATCCCAAAGTGGTTAGAAAAACAGATGAATTGTGACAAGCTAATAGATGCAGGTGTCAGACTACCAACTTCGTCTATAGCTAAACATCTAATCGAGATGAACCATAAGGTTGAGGTTAACTCAGCCTTTAAGGTCATCTATAAAAACGGTCAAGGACGTTTACTGAAATACTCTGAGGCTATAGCAATTCATAAACTTAAGCCCCTCTTGTGTATTCAAAAACAGTTTGTTATTACTCTTAACCTACCTTGGTAATCTTTATTTGATTGAATTACCAAACGTTTGTGTTAATTATTCTTAATTCCTTTTTTGTCACTTTGTTTAACTTAACTTTTCCATATATATTGACTTGACAAGTAAATGTGTGATCAGATTGTTCGAAATGTATAGCGCAAATGCATCACATTTTTCAGATAATCTCCGTCTTCTAATAACACTATCAAAATTTAAATGTTTTAAATGATACATAAGTTCTAACCACTTCTCATATAATAGTTTGAGTAGCTTTCTCAATAAATGTGACCTGCAGTCTAATTTTATACACCTTAAGTGTAAGTAATTGCATTGCATGTTTTAAAGATGAAGCTCAAGTTGACTGATTTGTGTAAATGATTTAATGTTGAATTCTTACTGGGAAAATTGATTTTCATGCATACTGACTAGATTCTGCCCCCAGAGAAGAAATATTAACACTAATCAATTTATAGTCGAATAAAACTAAATTGTATACAATGGAAGAAATCAGTTGGGAAATAATTCCCTGATAACAATCAAATCAGTGGTTTAAATGCATACAGTTATTTATAGGAATCTTCTATAGTACTGACATAGGTGTTATTGTAGAAGTTTGAATAATTAGATTTGTTGCAGACTGTGATTTATTCTTCATCAGTAGAAACTAGAATGAATCTGATTTGGAAGAGTAATAAAACCTTGAGTTGAAATTACCTTGCTTAATTGGTCTGTTGCATGATGTGTCAATTCGGTCCGGCAGAAATTAGTGGATACGTATTTAGTAGATGGTTTACTAAATCTGCGTGGATTCTGTCAGTCTGTTTTACCGATTCGTGTTGTATATTCAAAAAGTCAGTTGGCTTCGGTGAGGGCAAATAAACTCTTTATATTATAAGTTTATTCATTAAGCATAAAATTGATTTTCCAGGTGAACTTTTTGCATTTTTTTTTAAAATTGAACATTTCATGAATCTAAAAAAACATGTTAGATAAGTTCATTTGTTATAACACCAGAGCGATACAATGTTAACAACTGGATGATATTTTGAGGACAATTTATTGCTCATAATCATAATAATGTCACAAAAACATGCTTAAA